AAAACCGGTTCACGTCCCCATCGGTCCTTTGCACGGAAGAGGACAAGGACGTCATTTCTGCAATCCACGGATGTTGCAATGCCTGCTTGGCGGTGGGTCGATCGTGTTCCTCGTACGTCAATAGCTGGCGCAGAAAGCTCTTGGCTAGGTCCGAGACATTGGCCCAATCAAATGTGGCATTGAGTGGCGATTCTCCTCCGTCCTCCAAGTAATCGGAGTAAAAGTCTGTGGATTTGCTTTCCGCGGCGTAACTACTAATGAACTCATCGTTTTCGTTTTCTTCTTCACCCTCTCCCAATAAGAAGAACTCCCCTCGAATAATGTTCTCGCAAATCTGTTCCCTCGATTCTCCCCGGAAGGGTAATCGATTGGAGAGTAGTAGATAGCATAGTACACCGCATGCCCAAACATCTCGTTTGGGTCCAATGGACCCCTTGAGTACGACTTCGGGCGCCCAGAAATCGACGGACCCCTTTCGCTCGGGGAGAATGGATTTTGCCCTGGAGCTTCGACTGCGTCGGTTGCTGCTTTCACTGGTAAGAGTAGATTGATTGAGTTCGTCGTCGTCGTCGTCGTCTGTGTCGCTCGCACTGTCGTCATCCATGCTGAACAAGCTTTCCACATCCAAGTTTTTGGTGGCATCAGGATGATTGCTGTTTTCCTTGTCGTTGTCGTCGCCGTCGCCTTGTTCGGCGTTTCCATCATCTGGATCGTCTTGGTCTTCCATAATCTCGGCACAGGCAAAGTCGGTCAACTTGACGTGATCCAGATCCTTGTCTTGTTCCAATAGAATGTGCTCTGGTTTGATGTTTCCGTGTACAATTCTGTTGGAATGGAGGTAGTTGACCACACTGAGTAGTTGTTTGAGTATAAGTGCGGCATCTTGTTCCTGCAAGGGTCCCCAGGTATCGAGTTCCTGGCAGAGATCCCCCCCGTGACAAAGGTCCATGACAATGTAGAAATGGTCTCTTCCTTCGAATAGTTCATATGTCCTGATGAGACTGGGATGATCCAATGTTTGTAGAATTTTGAATTCCCTGACGAGTACCTGATTTTGCGCTCTGTTCCAACTGGAGTTTTTTTTGACGACCTTGACTGCTCTTTGGATTCCAGTGTCTCTGTGCAGACAAATGTGTACATTGGCATGATGCATCCCTTCATGGTGACTACTGCTGTTACCGGTAGCTGTGGATTGTCGTTTGTCTCTCTTGGTGTGAGTGCTGCTGTTGAGGTTGTTGTTAGTGTTGTTAGTGTTGTTGGATGTTCCTCTATGAATGAGCTTTCCAATGGTGTAGTGTTTCTTGAGTTTGTCCGGTGAGAGCGCCACAAAGTCCAAGGCACTGAACTTGAGTGAAGCTGCCTTTTGTCCCATTCTGCGATTTTGTCGCTTGAGCTTTTCCTTGCTGCTCAGGGTTATAGCCTTACTACCAGTACCAGTACCAGTACCAGTACCAGTAGCGGGACTGCCATCCAGGGCATCTCCTGCACCTTCAGCCTCCTTGTCGTCCTTCTTGTCTAGACCTTCCTTCTTGTCCCTATCTTCATGGCCAGGCTTTCTCTTGGCGTGGCTTCTTCCGCTAGCAGCACTTGTAGTAGTAGTACGACTGGTCTTGTGCTTGGTGTTGTTGTCTTCATCATCATCCGTCAAATCTTCCTGGATGGAGACTCCCAAGATGTCCACTTCAGTGAACTCCTTAGACATTGCTTTGTCTTTTATTCTAAAGGTCTCTCTTACTAGTACTTAGGTCCCTTATACGGTCTTGTCTTATCTTTTTGATGAGTGAATCGAATCGAATCAAATCAATGGCCAGTCCAACCAGCTAGCTAGCTAGCTATCCAGCGGCAGTTCTCAAGACTTAGTTGTGAGGCTCTGAGGCTGTGAAGCAACCCACTCTTCCCCCAACTCAAGCTACTAGTAGGTACAGTACACTGTCAGCAACACAAGCTCGATGCTGATATGCTGATCACAATGGTATCTTCCTTCCGCATTGATCTCTCTCTCGGAAGGAAAGCTCTTACAGTGTATAATAGTGTTGCGAGAAACGATCGAATTCATTTTGAGAATTTGGTGATTGGCTGGTGTCTGCGCTTTTCATCTGTGCTGTGATTGTGACAGGCTTGCGTTTGTTGGCCTCTAACTAAATGGCGGCATCCTCTCCACTTTTAGAAACCATCACTGTATTTAGACTGTCACACTTCTAACTAAACAGTACCTAGCGGAAGCGGGAGGAGGGATACAGGTTGTGCCGGGGGCGCGCACGCATTTTGGTTCCTTTTTATCGGGTGGTACATGTAGCTCATTATCAATGCTTTGCTGCTGCTTTATGATGAGAATTGGAAGGAACATTGGTAAATGAGAAATAGATGTATCGGTATCATACAGTAGTTTCTTTGAACGTACCGTACTGGTAGACTAAGAGAAAAAGGAATGATGATCTTCACAGATTGAATCTAATCTAATTCAATCATTCTACAGACATGGCGGATTGCCGTGTATGTATACACTCGTACCTGTTACCAGCATGCATAGTGAGATCGAACCCCTACCGGTACCATTCTAATTGCTGCCATCTGCCTTGGTGGCAGTTTGCAGTATTGGACGATACGATACCGTACGGTACAGTATGAAATGAATAGATCTAACGTCTGATTATGGTTCCGTACTGGTATTTTCTTTCCAACTATTAGACACCCAGATGCTTTGCATAGTGGTACCAGGTACCGTAGGAGAGAAGAAGCTACGTGTAACTCACTTCAAAGTAACCGAAGAAACCAAGACCAAGTAAAAAGCAAGCTATACGGTAGTCTCTATGGAATAAAAAGACTACATGCATATGATAAAACCAGGTACAGTAGCCTACATGAAGCAAAGAAAAGATCTCGTGTTTATTACGTATCAGGAGCTTGCATGGGACCGACACGATGTAAAGAAGCTGTGCCTAACTCCAGTAAGACTAAGGTTTACGCAGAGAATAGAAGACAGACAAAATGCTCCAGCTGTCAGACGGTCGTACAGGTCCATTTTGATTGGATGAACAGAATTTAGTTGAAGTGCAAAAGAACAAGGGTTGCCGACATGGCCGGTGCTTGGGCTGTTTGTCACCATTGGGCATGGATTCTGTGGAAGGCAGGGCATGTCTGATGGGACAGTGTTGCCCGCGTTTAGAATTCAATTGAGTGCGTCGTGCGATGGAGCGTGCGCGGTGTTGTTGTTCCTTCCCTTCACGATTGCGGGTGGAGGCGGCAAGGAACGAAAGTACAGTAGAATTGGTAGTAAAAATATACTAGTATAAATGTAGACTCCTTGGGAGCAGCAGTAACAACCTCCTGAAGTTCAAAGCAAAGCAAGCAAAGCCACAACCGAGCATCCATCAAACGATAGTCCATCAACAACGATCAGACGATACTAGTACCGTATCAACAAACAGCACCAGCAGTCTCCTTACTGATCAAGCTAAGCCTGTTCCGGTGCTGCTGTCCGCTCTATCTATCTCTCTCTATCTATCTGAGGCAGACAAGCTGATCAACTTAAGCATTGACTTAAGCATTGCTGCTACTAGCGACTACTAGTGTTACTGCTACTAGTAAGTGCTGGTAGAAGACCTGGTGGGTTCCCATGTGGAGATTGGCGTGTTGGCAAGACAAGGCTCAGGCACATCAGGCATCAATTAACAAGATCATCACTATTGAACTAGCTTAAGTAAGGTTAGCTTAAGGTTAGCTTAAGTCAGGTCAAGTGAGGTCAAGTTCAGATAGAGAGGAGGAAGAAGAGACTCTTTAGCCAAGGTCATTCAACAAGCAACAGCAAGACAGGGCAAAGACAATCCAATCCAATCTACTCCTACAGTATCTATCAAACAATCCACAAGGCAAAGCAAGAGGAAGAAGTTCAGACACACTTAGACTACTAGACTAAGGTTCAGGAATAGATTTGGGGAATAGATGAATGGATCTGGAGATTGAGATTGACAATCAGCTTACCATTGACAAACACAAAGACGAACACAAACATCAGACCATTACCAAGCCTAAGTCTAAGAACAGCACAGTGATGTTGGAAGTTCAAAGAACCAGCAGTAGCAGCTTCAGCAGTCCCATTCAAGCAGCTCAGATTCCTGGTCCTGCTGCAGCCATACAGGTGCCTCCTTCTGCTCCTGTTCCTACCAGTAGTAGTGCCTCCATCATGGCTCCTCAGCATCAACATCAGAATCAGCAAGCGCCTTTCAATCCCATGGCTTCAGTACTTCCAAGTAGCAATACCACAAACGGCATCACCACCTCAACCATCACCAATGGATTCAACAATCCTTCCTCTTCTTCTTCAGCCGCTCTCCCACCCCCCACTCGAGAATCCGTGCTACAACGGTTAAGTGAAGCACTGCTCAGACGGAGTCTCGCCAAGATTGACCTAAGTCAAAAAGGATTGGGTGCGTCCGATGCCAGACTCGTCAAAATGGCAATCCTTCAAAATAGACAGTTACGAGTACTCAAATTGGGTTACAATCAACTGGGAGACTCTGGATTGCAAACTCTCACTACAGGAATTGCTAAACACACACACCTACAATCCATTGACTTGGGATTCAACAACATTAGCGATATTGGATGTCAGGCGCTCGCACAAGCCATGCTCACACAAACGTGTCAGATACAAACGCTCTACTTGGCGGGAAACTCCATTGGACACGAAGGGGCCATGGCTTTGGCGGACGTCATTAGACGGCCGTCCGCTCTGGAACGATTGTACATGACGGGAAATCGATTAGGATCGGAGGGAGTCAAGGCACTTACCGAAGCCATTCTAGAAGAAGCCGCCATCCGAAGATCATACCCCAACAACAACACGAATTCGAATACCAGTACGAATGCTGCCTTGAGAGATCAAACCATGATGACTAACAACGACGATCATGCTACCAACCCAACTACAACCAACTCTACCCTCAACAACGGCTCCAACGCCAAACCATCGTCGTCGTCGTCACATCGTAATGGGATGCAAGAACTCTTTCTGGGCGGAACGGGGTTGGGAGCCGCAGGATGTCAAGCTATTGCACGACTACTGGCGTCTCCCGATTGTAGACTCAAAGTTCTCAGTTTGGCAAATTGCGATCTCACCGATGAAGAAATCACAAGACAAGACGGAGGCATTGCATTGGCCATTAAAGGGAACCGGGACAATCTTCCACTCAAATCGTTGCAACTTTCGTTCAACGCCATTACGCACAAGGGATTAGAGGCACTCATGAATGCCTTGTGGGGAAGTAGAACTCTGCAAGAATTACGAATTGACAATAACGATATCGGTGATCGGGGAGCACAGCAGATTGCCGCCATTTTGCCTTACCTCAAGACACTCGAGACACTCGACGTGGGATTCAACAACATCAACAACAAAAACCACGGCATGAAGATTTTAATGAAGGCTGTCGCCGAAACCAACAACTTGAAAACACTCAGTTTATCGGGGAATCCCATGCAGGACGTTTCGTCCGCCAAAGCCGTCGCATACGCCTTGGCGTACAACACGTCCCTACAATCGTTGCTCGTCGTACATTGTCATTTGACCACTGAAGGACAGCGACATGTCGCTGCCGGGGCTGTTTCCAACAGTCGAACGTCAGTCAGAGAAGTATCGGGATTTCCAATTGGACGTGAGTATTTACTATTGTTGCCTGCAACTGACACGAATAGGTTTTCCGCGTCATCGTCTCAACGAATTTAATTTCTTGTTTTCATGCCCCTTTTATCAATTTATCGATACTCGAATCGTAGCGGTCATTGTCACTCTCGGCTTTCCAGATGCTTTGGAACACTGGACTAACGAACAAGTCCTCAATTTTATTCATCTCATGTGGAACAAAACCAAGGCTGAGAATGGAAAGTCGGAACACGAAGACGAACGGGGTTTGGATCCTCTCAATTTTTTACCTGGATCGGCCGGTTCCGACAACAAACCGGGTCGTCGAAGTGGGCCTTTGGAGGCGACCATTGTCGTTGACGTGGCGAGAAAAGCGTTTGCGAGTCTGGTGGCCAATGGACGAGTCGATGTCTTTTCAAGGCGGCCAGGGCATCCAAATGCCATGACTTCTCCAGCAGTCTTTGCACCTCGGGACGCAATCATGCTGGAGTCGGTGGATGGGGATTCGATCGTCGAAAGCATGGGAGAAGTCGCGGTATCCTCAACGCCGACGACGTCATCCAACAACCTTTTGGGGCCTCTTGGAGCTACTGGAAGCACCCCAAACGGCGCATTTTTAGGGTCCGCCGAAAAACATCACATGAACGGTTCAACTTCGTCCATGGCTTCTGCCAAGAAGCAGGCACGTTCGTTCGTTGCGCCGCCACAAGAAAGAAGTGCGGCGAAGCACAGCCAGTTGCCGGACCCATCGCGGAAAAAGCGAATTGTGGAATGGCTCTGTTCCAACATCAAGCACCTCAACAAAATGGCACAAGTACCGTTTGATTCCAGCGAGTTGCTGAGGCTGCATCAACACTACTTCACACCCGTGGTTAACGAAAGCGGTGGAACGAGCGTCTTCAACAACAGAGACAGCGCAGGCGGCAATTCTGTACGGTCTTCGCATCAGGCGTTCAGTGCGGCGGGTGTTCCGCTGGGGAGTGCCATTATGGAAGAAGCTTCTGTCTCCTCTTCGACAACAATGCAGTCGGGGGATGTTAACATGGTCCCGTTGAGTGATCCCATGTTTACCGGTGGACAGGAACTGCGCACTCACAACCGACCCCAACAACGAAGTGGGCAACCTCAACAAGTTGCTTCGTCGCTTCCAATGCTCAAACGGAAGGTCAGCTATCGTTTCTTGGGCGACGCTGCTATGCACCAACAAAGCAGCCCACATCAACAACACTCTAGTCCATGGAGCAACGCGTTTGGCGGTGGTTCCCATGTCGGTAGCGTGTCAAAGATGATCCAAGACGGACCCAGTGGCCATTCTCTTCCGCCAAAGAACAAAAAGGCACGACGCAATCGCACCAGAATATCGTTCTTGCCGAGAGTTAAGGCCAAGCTAGATTCTTACTTGGACGTGTGCCACGAGAAAGCTCTCATCACGATGCGGCAGCTTTACTACGTAGAACAAGCGATCCTGAGCGGGCAGGTGAATCCATTGGAGGAGGGAACGCCACGGACACACTTGAGCGGTCCATTGGCGACGGACGCAGAGACCATCGTCGTGGACATGATGTGAGAAAGCTCAGTTGAGTCATGGTAGTTAAGCACATTGCCAGTTAATGTTGCTTGGAATTGCGATATTGGAGTCGTTGCACACATCGTAACCTTTCGAGATCGATACCAGTTAGCTGCCTTGCCTTGACATTCTTCAGCAGGTATCCATCAGAGATCCTCACAAAATTTAAAATCAACATTCATAACTCGAAATACACTACAGGGCAGAGCTCGATCGATCGTTCCTTCGCATGAATAGAAACAATGAAGCTCTCAAATATTTTCACGTGGATAAGTGCACAGGATGAAGCCGCTGATGAACATGTCAGAATTGTCAATCTGCAGAGTTTGGTGCACAAAGAGGGGAACGATTACGGTGCAATGGAACAGCAGCTAACCGTACAAATGGGAGACGATAGTGGCAGTGACGATGAGTCGCATGCATCAAGTAGTACTGCTACAATCGGCCGATTGTACAACTGGATGGATCCCGAGGCACGGGCGAGCATGGTTGATAGTGTCTTTAGCACCGTGCGTTCGGCCGAAGACTACGAGGTCGTCGAGGAGACCAACGAGTCCGAGCTGTACCGGAAAAGCAGCTCCCTCCAACGCGCCATGCCCGAGAGGCTCTTTGCGCTGACGATTACCCTACTCTTGGAGATTCCTGTCCTGATGATGGTGTCTGGCGGATCGGACGCATTATGCGGATTGATTGGTCGATCCCGCTATCAGCTTTTGATTGGGTTTTTGCCCTTGACAAGTGCCATTTCGGGCAATGTTGGGCTTCAGGCAAGTACACTCACTACAAGAGCAATCTCCCACTCGCACATCACGGTGAAGGACTTTCGGTTGTGGTTGTGGACCGAAGTAGCGGCTGCGATTTACCTTGGCACGAGCATGGGTGCCATGCTGGGAAGTATTGCCTACGTTGCTAGCGGATTCGACTTTGCCTTTGGAACTACCATCTGCATCTCGCAACTTTTGTCTGTGGTTACAGCAGGCCTTACAGGAACAGTAGCGCCACTGCTTTTCAGTTTCCTATTCAAGCGTGATAGTGGAAAATGGGGAGGCCCCCTGGAGACTGCAATCCAAGACATTGTCGGTAGCTTTGCCATGGTAATTATCAGTTACTACATCCTCCTCGTACTTGGACCCGGACCGATTGATCCCAGTGATGTCTGCGGCCCCCAACTGGTGGCAGACCTGTCAGCAGCATAGTAAGCCAACTAGCTAGCTATTCTCATACCCACACATTGCTGTCTGTGAGACACCTGCGTAGCTAAAGAGTATGAAAACCTTTGGGAAAACCAGGTGAAACAGCCAAGACATTGCGTTCTGAGGTTGCCCCGGGTGATGCGGACAGTAGCTTGCCAGTTGCCGAGAAATGCTTTGCAGTAACCAGAGACTAGCCAAAGCAGATTGTGGTGTCAATGCGTGTACCGGTAGAGAGACGAACTAGAGCAGGTGGAGAAGCAGTGGATGAACAGATAGACACATTGGTCCGCTGCTGTACTACTGGAGAGGGCACTCCCGGTGTTGCACCTGAATGCATAAAGCTTTGGCTCCACTATGCATACCGGTACACCGGTATACCATCAGTCCATGTCCTACATGTAGCTAGTAGGTCCCAGACTACAGCGTCCGACTCGGAGTCTTCCTCGACTCCCAGCCACCGCCTCAGCCGTCCGCACTCCGGATGACATGGGCAGTTCACTAGGACTATTTAGGGACGACTAAATACACCTGTGTGTGCAGTGTCGAAACGATAGTGCTAGAGTTTGGGAACGGTGCTATCTAGTGCACCAATCCAAAACCGTTGGGATCCAAAACCGTTGGAAGGTGCAATCTGGTGCACCTAGCCAAAACCGTTGGAAACCGACATTGAACTGAGTAGCCCCTTAAAAAGAAAAGGACGCCATTGTCCTCTTCGATTGGTGGCTACATGCAATGTGTGGCTTGGATTGGCTCCTACCGACTGATCATCCCCTTGAAAACCCTAACTCTATCTACGGTGACGTACCAGTCCAGGAAGGAGCAAGTGTGCTTCCACATTGCTCTGCTTAGAGTCATGGCGATAGTTGCTGTCTTGATCTTTCAACCTTGAAAAGAGAATTAGAATTAATTCCTTGAGTTGAAGCATTAACTATCCAACTGAACCAAGAAACCGAGGCTGCATAGGCAATGAAATCATCAACCATGACCGGTATTGCAGCCACAAGACCAGTCTTCTTGGCTCAGCTGCATGCTACCGTAGACAGCCGAACCAAGAAAGGACTGGAACTGTCCAGGCTAGCTCAGCAGGTCCAGAACGATGAAAGTTTTGCCAATCACAAATCTAGAATCCTGAATAGGAGCAAGCACACGCAAAACTTCCATAACTATAATGACACATTTTCAAATAGTACAACCACCAACAGGAGCAGCACAAAGCCCCGGGCCAATCACCGTATACTCCCCACCAACCGGCAGATCATGCCTGGAAACAACAATCAAAGCAGAGAGCTGGTCTGAATTCCAAGAAAAGTACGGCCCAGGAGGAAGCCATACTAGGATTCTTACGACAGTACAGAGTTGTCGAAACCTATTCCGATCGAAAGTACGAAACCAGGAAGATGGTCCTGGACATCAGCATCTTGTGGAGCAGCAAAAAAGAAGAAAGGCACCAAAGGGAAATATTGCAATCAATGCCACAGATCTTCGACAAGGGAAACCAGCATTCCTCAGATTCGCTCCTCCATCAGCTTAATAAAACTAGTTAAGAAAGTTGTAAACATAGATGTATACTTTTAGATTCGATTCAAGATTCCGTTCCAAGTTAGATTAAAATAGCTAGCTAGCTAGCTAGCTAGAGACTGATAGAAAGGTAAACGAAAGACAACCACTTAGCTGGCTTGACATGAATGAGGGCTGGGTCATGCTTCAATTGAAGTGGGGTTCCGGTTCTGGTGGCAGTTCCGGTCATCTGTCTGTTTTTTGGAAGAAAAAGCTGTCAACCCTCACAATTTTGGCCCTTGCAAACTTCCAACAGCAATAGCAATAAGGCCACCATAGAATCAAGCCTAAGAAAACAAGTCAGTCTCATTCAATTTCATTCAAATCTCAGTGAAGTCAGAAAGTCAAGTCAGACCATGGGTGTCTGTTGCAGCGCTCCAGCAGCGGAACTTCCAGCTGCCACTGAAGAAGATATCAAGCGCCTTCGAGAAAAAGGACACTTGCCATGTCTGGCAGGACCATCAGTTGATTTTGATGGAGATAACCAGTGCCAGACTGTCTATGTGGCGGAGTATGAGAATGGAACTGAAATCACGTTTTTGTTCTTGGATGAAGACAGGCCCAACATGTGTGAAGATTGCATTGTGAGTATCTTATCTTGGGTATATACCCATCCATTATCTACCATTATCTACCATTATCTCAACTGTTTCTTTTCTTCTGCTGAGTTCAGTACGACACAATCCGACGCCCCCTCTTTGGTCGCTATTCTGATATCGAGAGCTTCCTCATTATTGACGGTGCTGCAGAATTTCCAGGCACGTACTCTGGTGAACAGAAATGGAATGAAAAAGTCCCGGAACACGGTCACGCCACTGTGGATCTCTCCAAATTTGAAAAGAGAGATGACACGGACCCTATTGTGTGGGTGAATACCTGGAACCATCTCATTGGAGACAAAAACAACAATTCAGAAATGGAAATCACCTATCAGAGACCCATGAAGGCTGGATCTGTCGAAACCAAGGAAAGCAGAGATTTCGTAGTTCGCATTGGCAGCCGTGCAGAAGTTGATGCTCGCTTCACAGGAATCATGACCACTCTTAGTACTGTTGTCACGGAAGAAAGATCCATCCGACTGGGAAAGAGACTCAATGGCCCCAAGGAAGAAGGCGAAACCAAGACCGAAACCAAGGCTGAATAGACAGATATCCGTGAACACACACAACAATCTGCAAACTGTAATCCAATGGGCTTCCCAGATATTGTACATCTAGCTGCCTTCTCTTTCTCGCGCATGACATCACTTCATTGTGACTTGTTGTGTTCTTTTAATTCATGTACCTTACTAGAACTAAACTTTTGGGCTGTGTCCAAAATAGTTAACCGAGTGCTACGTGAATGCAAGTGTTTGCTTCATCTACTTGTTTAATTACCTTTGCGGGCTCTAGCTACTAGGACGTTGGAAGGCAACGAGCCAAGGGCAGAACCCAAAATGTAGTTTGTTGGGCAGAAAGGAAGACGGGACTTTGAGAAGCATTGGACGCTGCAACCTTCGAACGGCCCACCGTTCCTTTTCTGGACTCCGGTTCATCAGGAACTCTGAGTTTTAGGCAGGTTGGACATCACTGTCGCGTTTGTGGGTCGCGTGATACCGATACGGTTAGGATCAGCACTTGCGTCATGAGCTTTACCGGTATCCCTTTTGATCATTTTCTTCGACCAGACCTTGCCACTGTCCCGAAGCAAGTCCCGAAAGCCACGACCTGTTGCTTTGCCATTCTTACTACCATAGTACCCAAACAGTAACACCTGCAATGTGTTCGGGCACACGGCCAACCCTGGTTCACTTGTAAACGTATACAAGAGCTGGTTTCGGCGATTCGTTCCAAACGACGGCTTTAGTTTCAGCATTGTTTCCACCACGGCTGCTGCGCACGTCTTGTCCTCCGATTTCGTCTTCAAATTGTGCAAGGTTGTCTTGAGTTTGAAGAGTTCCCCAATGACGCTGTCCGCCAATGCAGCATCCGGGACGCTCATTGCTATATTGGCAAGCTTGGCGAAACAGGCACAATCCCTTGGATGGCACGAGTTGAAGTCGATGCATTTGCCCAACCCAATAAAGAGTTTTGAACAGAACATCTCCACAAGAATATTGGAATACAGGACCAGCGCGGCGGAAGCGCCTTGTTCTTCTTGCGCCGACGGTGGATCCTTTTTGCGCTTCATCATTTCAGCAAGGCGGCTCTGTCGAAGCTCCAGTTCCGTCTTGGTCAATGCGAGGTCCCTGACGCCTTGAACAATATCTTTCTTGTGCTTGCAAGCACACAGTGACAACGCCTCATTGCCTTCGGCCTCCAGGATTCGTTTTTCGTGCTCTCGGAGGTATTCGCAATGCCCGAGCACTGCCCTGATCCGTTCTGGTCGGCTTAGGTTACGATTGCGGACAATTTGTGTGGCGACGTCCCGAAATTTGTATCTCAAATAGCGAATGTTGGGTTGTATCCGTTTGTTACAGCGACCGCATGTTTGCCGATTTCTGTCGTGGTACTCCTGAATGGCTTCGGCAATGACACTGGATATTGCGGCGTCAGGGGCAGCAGCAGCATTCTGCTTGGTGGTACCGATAGTAGCCGCATTCTGTTTGGTACTAATAACGTTTCTCGTGCCATGTAAAAGCTTCGAATACGGACCCAGTTGCATTCCGTACTGGGGGCCCCCGCTTGGTCTTTGACCCGGTCCACGCCAGGGTGCCAGTACGGGTAGAGCCTTATTATGATTGGGATGCGAGAGTGGTGCGGCTGGCATCAAGCTTGCAGCTGGAATGGCTCGAACCACAGTTTCGTCTGAAACATGGCCACTGGCGGCACTGTTCTGTGCCACGGTTTGAATGGTGTTTCCAACACGAGTATCCTTTGAATCATTGTTCGTACCAGCACATGTATTGTCATTGCTGACCGAATTGTCGTTGTTTTTTGCAGTGGCAGCTTCCTCAACCATGTCGTCGGGATGGTGACTCGTTTTTCCCCGTTTGCTTTTCGGAGTGCACTCGACGGGAGGAAGAGTGGTCGAGTCAGGAGACTCTGGTGTCTTTCGCTTCGTCGCAGATTGAGGAATGGAGGTGGTCAAATCAATGAAATCGTCGTCGTTGTCGTCACCAAACATGGCTTCGTCCTCTGACGCAGCTGGGTTGCTGTCGGTTTTGTCCCCGTTGCTCGCTGCTACATCAGCTGCTGATATGGTACATGCAGATTGTGTTTCTGGTGTGGAAGGAGACGTGTTAATTGGGAAGTCCTTCGGTTGTTTCTGTGAGCTTGCAATGGTGGTGGTTGTCGATGTGTTGGTGTCTAAGAGTAACAGGTTTTCAGTAGCAAGTGTTGCCTTGTCGTTTTCATTGTAATTGTCATTGGCGTCACTGCACATACCTCGTGGTGAAGTCTGGTCAGCCACATCGGGTACTGGCAGAACTGTTGCTGGTGGTGGTGGTGAAGGATCTTTGTGATTGCTGATGAAGTGAGTGTCAGGGGGTTGATTGAGTGATTCTTTGGTGTGTTGAGTGGTACTAGTATATGTAGTACAAGTACTACTAGTAGTTCCATCTGATTGAATACATGTAGTTTGCTGCTGAACTTGAATTGGAGGAAGCTTTGACTCAGAATCATCTTGATGCTTATCTGTGTGGGCCTCAGGCTCCTTCAATTGTGATTTTTCAGTCTTGACTTCATTCATCACATCATTGGAAACTTCAGTGGATTGCAAGCTACATGTGCTGGTACTGGTGCTGGTACTGCTACCAGAAGGACTTGTAGTCTGAGAACTGACATTGCTAGCAGTAGCAGAAATGATGGTAGAAATTGTGGGATGCTCCTGATCAGGAGATGCTTGGGTCAGGGTGTTGAATGATAATCCCAGCAACTTTTCAGCCCAGTTCCAAACTTTAAAAAAGAAAAGAAATTTAATCAATTGAGAATGAGAATAGAAGAGCAGAGTATGTCTTATACTAGCTAGGTAGCTAGATAGCTAGGTAGCTAACTAGCTAGGTAGTACATGTATAGTACATGTATCTTACCTTTGGAGATGACAGAATTGCTTTGCTGATCTTGCAAGTGTTGAATTTGTAATTTGAGTTGTTTGTTTTCTTGAATAATTTGTTTTTGTTGATTTTCCATCTGATGCATCCATTCAGTCAACTCCATCAATTTTACATTCTTGCCTTGTTCATCCCCTTCACCATCTACTGGACCATTACATGTACTATGCTTTTCAACACCAGTCATCATCTTTGGAGGTGCCATGTTTTAAAACTGACAGCTGAGGTGCTGCTGGAGATGACGAAGGACTGATCCCACTTTTTCTTGTTGCTCTTGAGACTATCTACAGGTAAGTCTTCACCATTGCCATCTCCGGCTTGATCATCTACGTGTATCTGCTCCCTCATCAAAAAACTGACACGGAGTAAAAAGCGCAACGCATTCAAATTGTGTGAGGCGTTATGGTGCCGTTGCTTCTTTCCATTTTCGAATATTCGACTTGAAAGATCCTGGTGAGAGGACACTGGCTGAATCTTCAAATATTGACGTCACAACAACATGTCAGTGACGCAGATGGGAGTGCATCGCACGTCCCTTGTCAGTCAAATGAGTCAAGTCGCGAGCCATGAGTCTTGTGCCATCGTCATCATGATGGGCATGGCAGCGGCACAACTCCGAACCAATCCGCAAAGATCATCCCATAACCGCAGCAAGCAGCCAGCAATACGCAAGCCATTACGCATCTTTCTTTTCTTGAATGGCTGCTGTGGTCCCTTTGCACTTCGCATTGTCTTGGCAAGAAGAGAAGAGAGGATAGCTACCATACGGTACTATAGCTAGCTTTGTGGTGGTAGATCAGTGCACTAGCTAGAAGGCTCCTGATCTGTTTGCCTCGTCTTAGCTTACTGGTACTAAGATAAGCTCCATCCATTCATTGGCATTCGCATTCCATTGGATCTATCCAACAGCCAATCAACCAACCAACCAACCACTAAGATCATTCCTTTCATTATCATTCATTATCTACCTTTTATACGGCATTATCTATCAATCTACCCTCAGATACCCTCAGATACCCTTATCAGAACAGATACCCTTCTATAAGCTACCCTTCTATTAAGCTACCCCCTGATACCCTCAGATGCAATCCTCTCGGCTTGTTCGAGTGGCTCTAGCCAAGAGATCTCGAAGACAATTCCAGCAAAACAGAAAGTTCAGCTGCCTCCAAGCATCAGCACTGCAACCACAACTTCAGCTTCAGCCGTTGGACTATGACTATGAGCCTCAGCAGCCATGGCTTAGCTATAAGCATACGCGACCTCAGCGGAGATGTTTCAGTACTTCTTGTACCAACAGCAACCACAATCAACGCAGAGCTCAGTCCAGTGTGGCTGTGGCCAGTAGTCTCGATGAACCAGCTCTTTCCACTACCAACAACAAGTCAAGACAACAAATCCACCGCCTGGAACGAATTCGCAATGTGGGAATCTTGGCACATGTGGATGCGGGAAAGACGACCGTCACGGAACGCATGTTGGCTCTAGCTGGAGTTGTAAGGCACGTGGGAAGAGTCGATACCGGAAACACCGTCACAGACTATCTCCCGCAAGAACGAGAACGAGGCATTACCATTCAATCAGCGGCCATTCAATTCGACTGGGGATGGCACAATAGCAACAACAATGCCACAAACGAACGAGTTCACGTACATCTCATTGATACTCCCGGGCATGTCGACTTTTCTGTCGAAGTTCATCGCAGTGTCGCCGTACTCGATGGGGCCGTGCTCGTCGTGGATGCCGTCGCAGGAGTTCAAGCGCAAACCGAAACTGTATGGAGAGCCATGCAAGAACATTCTCCCTCTGGACAAGCATTGCCGTCTCTCGTCACTATCAACAAAATGGACAAGGAAGGATGCAACTTTGCACAGGCCGTACAAACCATTAGACACAAATTGCCAAATGCGAATCCAGTGCCCATTCAGTTACCGCTCTTTCGAGTCGATCATGATATTCCCGACAATCATAACTGTCTACAAATGCCAAACGTCGTCGCTCTCCCGAATGGGGCCGATTGCGATCATGACAACAGCAACAACCACAAGAACAATAATATCCACGGAGAATTCATGGGAGTCATCGATCTCATACACATGCGAGCCATTGTGTATCCAGAAACCAACCCAAACTCATCCCGGAGTGTCGAAGAATGCATCCCCGACGTTTATCCATTACTACTGGGAGGATCCACGGGTACTGCCAGCAAGAACACGGACGCGTCGTCGCTCGTGCTCGATGCCGATTGTGCCTTGACACAAGCCGCATTACAAGCACGACACGCATTGGTGGAACAATTGGCCGGAGATTGTCAAGATGAATGCATGGAACAGCACTACCTAGAAGATATCATGCCGGCACCACATCAACTACAACATGCCGTACGACAAGCTACCTTGACGCACAAGGCATTGCCCGTCGTAGCGGCGGCCGCATTAAAAGGAAAGGGACTCGAACCACTACTCGATGCCATTGCCGATTTATTGCCGTCGCCATTGGATCGACCTCCACCCGCATTGATTGATACAGATACCACCGAAACATTGTCGTCGTCTCTTCCTGACACCACCACCACACTCGGACATCCCATGAACAGCGATCTACTCGCGTTTGCATTCAAAGTGTGTCATTTGTCGGGAGGAAAAGGAGGCAGTGGCGATGGACGAGTCGTTTTTTGCAGGGTATACAGTGGAACACTGCGCGAACGAGATGTACTGCAGGTCGTGTCGCCACCCACATTGGGGGAAACGGCATCAGAACCACGAAAGGAGCGCGTGGGTGGACTCCTCGAACTGGCCGGAGGAGCTTTTACCAAAAAGGAACACGGAATATGTCAAGCGGGAGATGTCTGTGCCCTCGTCGGACTCAAGACGGTCGTGACGGGTGATACACTCGTATTGTCGTCGAAAAATAATAACAAAAAGTCCAAGAATACTAAGAATGGTGCCAATGCCAATGCATATGGTCGAGTGTGCTTGGCGGGTGTGGCATCTCCCAAGCCCGTGTTGCAAGTTCGATTGGAAGCCGAGACACAGGGCGAACAGACACGATTGAGCGAATGCCTCAAAGTGTTGGCTATTGAAGATCCGAGTTTGTTGGTGGAAGAAACCGAGTCAGGGACACTCTTGTCGGGGCTGGGAGAATTGCATGTCGAAGTGACACTGGATCGGTTGCATCGAGAATTTGGGCTCGTCGTCCACAAGGGAGCGCCACGAGTGGCGTATCGAGAAACACTCCTGGATGCGGTTGGTACGGATGGACTCATGCACTTTGATCGCACCATGGGAGATACAAGATTACAAGCTTCGGTGGAACTCAGATTGGAGCCGACGAGGAATGGTTGCGACGACAATAATGGCGATGCAGCCGTACAGCTTCCATTGGAACCAACCGTTCAAGTGGGACCGCAAGTTTTGGAGTTTCTGCAGCTCAAACCAGATGTCCCCCATGACGAATACATGGCCAAGTCGCCCGTCTACAGAGCGCTCGTGCAAGGATGTTTGGGGTCGCTCAAGAGAGGACCCGTGGGATCATACGCCATGGCCAATCTTACCTGTCACGTCGACGCGATTGATGCCGAAGATGGATTGCCAGGTCTTCAAGCACTCCCCGGAGCTATTCGAGCCGCCGCCATGAATGCAGTGACAAGTACTCTGAAGGACAATGTCGAGCAAGGACGAGTTCTGGAACCCTCCATGTCTGTCGAAATTAGTGCTCCGAATGACATGGTGGGTACTGTCTTGTCGGATCTGACGAGTCGACGAGGGACTGTAGAAGATGTGGTCACCGGGGACGAGGATAGCTCAACAGTTCACCAAAAGACTATGGTCCGTGGACAAGTGCCACTGGTGGAAATCTTGGGGTATGCAAGCGCACTGCGTAGTTTAACGGCGGGAGAAGGCGCGTTCTCGGCCGAGTACAAGGGACATTCCCGTTGTAGTGGTGCAGAGGTACCGTGAGCCAACTACTGTACCGGTATCTAACGATAATTTTTAGTGCGAGGCTTCGAGAAACGATAGGGCGCTTCTTTGGCTAGATGTTTAGGAGGTCGGCCGCGGGTTGAGCCTGTGTGCTGGTGAGGACCTCGGAATGAGGAACAGGCTTGGGGTCGCAGAGTCCCCTACCACTCTCGACCAGTCTGATGATCATGGGCTTATCCAGTTTCCGTCCCTATGCAGCTCTGTTGAAAAACAAATGATACTAAGTGGATACGAGGGGGGCTAAGCTAGGCAGAGCGGGGGTACCGGTAGTGGGTAGGGGAGGACAGGAGCAGGGCAAAAGATGCTACGGGGGGAGTGGAGAGGTGGTGATGGTGAACAGCAATATTATTGTTATTTTGCTCCAGAGCATACAGGCCGGACTGTACCGGTTGTGTACCGGTAACGACAGTCGCTGTCCATGCAGAGCGGGTTCGCATGCGGTCATGCCATAACCAGTAGACTAACCTGCATTTTATAACCAGTTTGTCCGCTGCCCCTGCTGCCTTGCATTTTATTGCGAAGAAGTCAATTTATAAAGTCGATTGCTGAAACCGGAATAGAGCTTCATTGCTGATCTTGACCATGCCTGTCAGCGCGTTTTCAGCACGTCTTGTGACAGCGGTGGCCGATCATGTTCGTTTCTTTGCAGCAGTTTGGCTATCGGTTCGATGGGCTACTGGCAGTGCCTCCGAGGATGGCCACCTGACGATGGTACCCTGGAAGACGGGCATCATGTGTGCCGGTCTTGTAACTACCCATACTATCATGGAAATGTTTTATGGGTTGGTTCTTCTAGGTCCTGAATCACTTGCATCTGTCAAGCGACAACAGGTTGCAATGGATATTCAAAACAAAGCATTGATGACATCTCTTGTTGGTCTCATTTTGCATTTGGCAATCTTGGCTGCCGGATTGTCCTATTGGGGGGTCTTCGGTCCTGTCTTTGTTTCGGAAAGCTCGACCACCGGTACCTGGATGGATGATTTGGAGGTCTGGATGATGGCTCTAGTGCAACCGTACGCCGAGTTTTGGGCCATTTGCGTTCTCAAGGACTGTTTCAGCATGAACATTCTACACCGAAAGATGCACAACAAGAATCATCAATTTCTCCATTCAATCCACGAGCTGCATCATAACTACGCCATCAATTTGAACAACATTAATGGAAGCCAGATCGACCCACTCGATTTGTTCCTAGAAAACAGCATTGGTCCATTCTTGTTGGTCTGTGCAAAGTGGGCCTTGGGATTGACACCACAGGTTTCGTTTCTGGCCTTCTACACCCTCGTATCCAGTGAAGGCAGTACTCATTCCTTGAATCCATACTCTGTTTGTTACTACTTCCCTCCGCGGATGCCATCCTCAAGGGAAATATTGGACACAATCTACATCATGCCAAACCGCATACTAATTTCACTGCGCATCCATGGCATCATCTCTGGAAAGGATACCAAAAAGACGTGGATACCTACAACCATGTCATGAAGACGCAAGTCCAGCTTTGAGCCAGCAAAAGAGCGAAAACAGCACGAAAAGACGAGGCGGTGCACAACTGTTTTGCAGTACCGGTAGGCACCACTATGCACGGTCACTTTCCGTACACTTAGCTAGCAAACTTTTCTCTCGCAGCCGCTTCGTTTGCTGGCCGTTCATCCTATCCTGTCATTGCCCACCACTAAAGCTAGCTAGCTACACGAAGTTGCTCAAATCATTCTATGTTGTGGATTATAAATTATAAGTTGGTTTGTAAGTTGGTTCATATGAAGCGTAACTGTCAAGCTACTCCCCACTAACATTCAACCTCGGTTGGGTCGATGTCATCAGTGTCGACTTCCTTGGGGCCTTGCTGCATTGGTGTTGGTGCTGGCTCTGCATAGAGTTCTTGGATGTTTAGATGGAGCTTTCGGGTGCTTGACTGCGTATGGGGCTTCTTGGTACTTGGTGGTTCTGTTTTGAGCATCGTGTTGCTTGGGTGAGATGGAAGCTTTTCTTGTGATTCAGGAAGTGATTTCTTTGAGTGGGAGATGTTGTATTGGCACAAGAACTTATCAGTGTCTCCATAGAACTTGAACTTGGTCTGGGTCTGCTTGAGAGCTTTGGCCAGGGTGCAGAACAGATACTTCAATATCTCAATCACCTCCTCATCACTCAAATCTTTGTGAGACGAGTTCAACTCACCATTGACCTTCACGTCAAAGCTGCTCATAAGGGTCTCCTCAGTGTTGGTAATGCCCACGTGGGGTTTATTTTGGGTCATGCGCCTCATGGCCCACTTCTTCCAGACCGTGATGATGGCGGTGCGGCTGCAGACTTTGCTTAGGTCATAACCCACTTGGGGCTTGAGGCAGATGAATCCACTAAAGCGGCGGACGGAGAAGTCAGTGTGGGATTCTTGGAAGGGAGACATCTTGATCTTGGTGGTGCTGTTGTGTGTGTGAGTGTCTTGGTGCTGCTTCTGGCTGCTGCAATGCGAGCTTGCTGTTGTTTGGTTTTTGGTTTTGCTGATCTTTGTTTTGTGTTCCTTCCTCTGCTCTCAGCTCTGTGCTCTGTGCTCTCTGCAACCAAGTTGGCTAAAAACCATGGTGGTACCAGACTGATCACGAGACGACTGATGAGGTTTGGAGTAAGACCGACATGCACTGTCGGGCCAGCTTACCAGTATAACCAGTTTGTCCGCTGCCCCTGCTGCCTTGCATTTTATTGCGAAGTCAATTATATATAAGTCGATTGCTGACAACCGGAATCAGAGCTTCATTGCTGATCTTGACCATGCCTGTCAGCGCGTTTTCAGCACGTCTTGTGACAGCGGTGGCCGATCATGTTCGTTTCTTTGCAGCAGTTTGGCTATCGGTTCGATGGGCTACTGGCAGTGCCTCCGAGGATGGCCACCTGACGATGGTACCCTGGAAGACGGGCATCATGTGTGCCGGTCTTGTAACTACCCATACTATCATGGAAATGTTTTATGGGTTGGTTCTTCTAGGTCCTGAATCACTTGCATCTGTCAAGCGACAACAGGTTGCAATGGATATTCAAAACAAAGCATTGATGACATCTCTTGTTGGTCTCATTTTGCATTTGGCAATCTTGGCTGCCGGATTGTCCTATTGGGGGGTCTTCGGTCCTGTCTTTGTTTCGGAAAGCTCGACCACCGGTACCTGGATGGATGATTTGGAGGTCTGGATGATGGCTCTAGTGCAACCGTACGCCGAGTTTTGGGCCATTTGCGTTCTCAAGGACTGTTTCAGCATGAACATTCTACACCGAAAGATGCACAACAAGAATCATCAATTTCTCCATTCAATCCACGAGCTGCATCATAACTACGCCATCAATTTGAACAACATTAATGGAAGCCAGATCGACCCACTCGATTTGTTCCTAGAAAACAGCATTGGTCCATTCTTGTTGGTCTGTGCAAAGTGGGCCTTGGGATTGACACCACAGGTTTCGTTTCTGGCCTTCTACACCCTCGTATCCAGTGAAGGCAGTACTCATTCCTTGAATCCATACTCTGTTTGTTACTACTTCCCTCCTGCGGATGCCATCCTCAAGGGAAATATTGGACACAATCTACATCATGCCAAACCGCATACTAATTTCACTGCGCATCCATGGCATCATCTCTGGAAAGGATACCAAAAAGACGTGGATACCTACAACCATGTCATGAAGACGCAAGTCCAGCTTTGAGCCAGCAAAAGAGCGAAAACAGCACGAAAAGACGAGGCGGTGCACAACTGTTTTGCAGTACCGGTAGGCACCACTATGCACGGTCACTTTCCGTACACTTAGCTAGCAAACTTTTCTCTCGCAGCCGCTTCGTTTGCTGGCCGTTCATCCTATCCTGTCATTGCCCACCACTAAAGCTAGCTAGCTACACGAAGTTGCTCAAATCATTCTATGTTGTGGATTATAAATTATAAGTTGGTTTGTAAGTTGGTTCATATGAAGCGTAACTGTCAAGCTACTCCCCACTAACATTCAACCTCGGTTGGGTCGATGTCATCAGTGTCGACTTCCTTGGGGCCTTGCTGCATTGGTGTTGGTGCTGGCTCTGCATAGAGTTCTTGGATGTTTAGATGGAGCTTTCGGGTGCTTGACTGCGTATGGGGCTTCTTGGTACTTGGTGGTTCTGTTTTGAGCATCGTGTTGCTTGGGTGAGATGGAAGCTTTTCTTGTGATTCAGGAAGTGATTTCTTTGAGTGGGAGATGTTGTATTGGCACAAGAACTTATCAGTGTCTCCATAGAACTTGAACTTGGTCTGGGTCTGCTTGAGAGCTTTGGCCAGGGTGCAGAACAGATACTTCAATATCTCAATCACCTCCTCATCACTCAAATCTTTGTGAGACGAGTTCAACTCACCATTGACCTTCACGTCAAAGCTGCTCATAAGGGTCTCCTCAGTGTTGGTAATGCCCACGTGGGGTTTATTTTGGGTCATGCGCCTCATGGCCCACTTCTTCCAGACCGTGATGATGGCGGTGCGGCTGCAGACTTTGCTTAGGTCATAACCCACTTGGGGCTTGAGGCAGATGAATCCACTAAAGCGGCGGACGGAGAAGTCAGTGTGGGATTCTTGGAAGGGAGACATCTTGATCTTGGTGGTGCTGTTGTGTGTGTGAGTGTCTTGGTGCTGCTTCTGGCTGCTGCAATGCGAGCTTGCTGTTGTTTGGTTTTTGGTTTTGCTGATCTTTGTTTTGTGTTCCTTCCTCTGCTCTCAGCTCTGTGCTCTGTGCTCTCTGCAACCAAGTTGGCTAAAAACCATGGTGGTACCAGACTGATCACGAGACGACTGATGAGGTTTGGAGTAAGACCGACATGCACTGTCGGGCCAGCTTACCAGTCAATCCATTCCGTAGATAATTTCCCTACTCTAAACCCCCTTATATTGTCAATCCAGTCACAGTATCATACATACTGTACTGTCGCAGATGCAGTCACAGTCCGCGTCCCTTTGAAAACGCAAATGCCGACAGCGCGCTTCCAAAAGCAATGATACGTTTAGCGTTCAGGTTCAGATATCTTACAAAGATCACCAATGACCGCAGCGACCGCCGCGGGCGAGAGACTTCCCGTTGGTGGGAGCTATCTTTGGAATCCGGATAGCTGTTGCAACTGTTTTCCAACAAGCAAGGGAATGAGGCCACTTTAAAACCACCCGCCACCCACCGTGGAATACTCATTGAAGCCACGGCAGATTATCAGCCGTTCTTTCTCTTTCGTTGTTGACCATGATGAAAATGAAACTCTTGGCAACCGCGTTGCTGTTGGCAATGCAAGGCTCTTATGCTCAGCACGGTCCCAAGACGGAGAGCCAAAAGAAGCAGGAACGCTTCTTCATGTGCATTCGATCCATTGAAAAGGCCAACAAAGATGGGGATGATTTCCTGACGCGCCCTGAATACCAGCCGTTCATCAAGCATTTGTCTGTACAGATGTTTGATGACTCCATCTTGGAAAAGGACGAGCTACCCAGAGATGTAGGGCACCTCTACAAGTTCCTCATTGTGGCCAGTGGAGCTGAAAGTGGAGCCAAGGCCATTGACATTTACGGGGCATCCTCCATGGAAATACCATTCATCAGTCAAGATCGGTATGACCAGCTACAGAAGGTCTGTGAAGCTGTCATGAAAGGTAAGCAAGCAAGCAAAGCAACTAAGAACAGGAGGAAACGCTTGTTGCAATGCTAACTCAGTACGTAATTCATCTATTCATATGATGCTGTTTCAACAGAACTGGCCAGACTGGGACCACAAACTGAGGCTGTAAGTATGGAATAGCATAGCCACGAACCTGCATGGATACTCCTTTGACACTCACGTTTTACTCGCTTTTGCTTCATATTCAGCCTATACAATTGGCAGGGGACTTGCTCTCAGAGGAAGAGTTTGAAGAAGAAGAAGAAAAAGATGAGGTCCCAGCGAGTTCCAAACCCAAAGAAGAGGACATGGACACGGAAATGATTTCTGTGCATTCTTCATTCCTCCTTTACAATAGGAGGAGTATCACCAAGGAGGACTTGAGCATTGGACCTGACAGCATCCTCTATGCTGCCTATGTTGACTTTGTCAACGATCTCATGGACACAGTTTGTCCCTTGGGCCGCCCTTTGGGCCACTGTCCGGAAGAGCCTGAAGGAGACCTTTTGGAGGCACCAGAGGAACCGGAGGAACCGGAGACACCTGCTGGAAACTCCACTGAAGGTCGCTACCTGCTCAGTCGCCGCCTCTGCGGGGACATTCGGATGCGCCGAATGCTCTGTGGGATGGACCGACGACGAAGGCTTGGCGGGATCTTTGAAGGTGCGGAACTCTATGAAGTCAAAGCAACGGATTGCCCAGAGGAATACAATATTCATGGACACGAACATGGTAGGACAGAATGAATCAAGAAGATTGTCTCTCGTACCTTTATGCTGCTTACCATGCTTCCTGCTTCTACCGTATTCCTTTCTCTGATCATTACAGGTATCCTCCCACATTGCCATACAATCTATGCTTACTATGAAATCCTCGTGCAAAAGCCAAAGAGCGTCCTGTTCAAAGATGTGGAAGCCAATTATGCAGCTGTTACCAAAAGTGGGATTTCCGATCACATGCTAGCAGATAGTTTGAAGAAGATTGATCCCAAATCCCCCTTCAAAGTGCTTGGGCCTGGAAAATTCCGCTATCCTTATGAAAACACCCATCACATGGAACACGAAGCCGAAACCAAACCGCCCAAGAAACCTCAGCATGACTCGTACCTGAGATTGTAAGGAACAACAGACAGCTTAGCAGTCAGAAACTTTGGATAAATGGCTGTGCACGGTGCCTACTGCAAGCTTTCCCTTGCCCGGCCTCTAAACAACAACGTACACTATACTTCCTTTTAATAACATTTAGTTCAGCATTACGATAACAGCCAATTCATCAATCAATCTAAGGACTGTCAGTGGAAGCTTGCTTGCACGCCATGGAGCCAAAGCAACAGGGACCTCACTCAGCCTACCGGTACAGAGAACCAAGCCCCCGGACAGAAAACCACAAAAAGAATGACCAAACAGTGCGGACAGCCCCGGACAACTGAATCAAAGTTGAACCAGCGGGCTAGCTAAACCCCCTCCTAAAACCCCGCGGGAAACACAAAAGGAATGTCCGAACAGCTCCGACAACTTAAAGTTAAACTTGCTTCCGCTTGTGACTGTCACTCCCACTGACTCGACTCCCGCACCTCATGTGCGAATGGAAATCCAAAAAGATACCCGCCAATGACCACAGCTGGCTAGAATAGCTCTACGGATGGCCCTGGCTCAGGTCGGTTGTGTTATCCGAGTTGTCTTCAGTGCACTGCAGCACCGCAACAACGTAACAGCACAACACTTGCTTATCTACAGCGAACAATCGAGCAATCTAGCTAGCGCTGGCGAAACATTGCTTGTCTATTGATCAGATTACAGCAGAAGTAGCATAAGACAAGACAGTCCGCTCGTTTCTTCCAACCATGATGAAGCCTCGCAATGGGGCGAGGAAATCGGTCCCGTTGAGGTTCATCCTTGGTCTCTTCCTAGTGATTGGCATATTGACGTCCAATGCTGAGGCGAAGCATTCTGGAAGAGAAATTCTGGACGACGAAAGTCAAATGGAATTGGAGGCGGCACAGCACAAACAGTCCATGGCTTCGCTGAACTCCCTGGTGGAAAAGACGATGGAAAAGGAGGAAGAACTTGAAGCTGAAGAAGAGGCTGAAGAAACATCAGATCCTATTATCGAATTTACACCCAAAGGGCGACGTGGTCCCGTTGATGACCCACCCGGCAACAATACAAAGCCGAAGAAGCCGCCTGGTGGTCCCCCTGGCTCTGCCAATGAAACCACGCCAAATGGACCTCCTGGGAACTTAACCAATGCTACAGAGCCTAGTGGTCCGCCTGGAAACTTAACCACACCCAGTGGACCTCCAGGCAATGAGACTGAAGCAAATGGACCACCAGGCAACCTTACCACACCAGTTGGACCACCTAGCAATGAAACCAATGCTCAGGGCCCACCAAGCAACGACACCAATGCGCAGGGCTCGCCTAGCAACGAAACCAATGCCCAGGGCCCACCAAGCAATGAAACCACACCGGCTGGACCAGCTAGCAATGAAACCAATGCCCAGGGCCCGTCAAGTAATGAAACCACACCAGCTGGAGCGCCTAGCAACGAAACCAATCCAAACGATCTACCAGCCGAAGAAAGGAATTCTACTGACAGCTCCGACGGCGCATCCTCGGGCAATGAAACAGCTCCAAACGATCTACCAGGCAATGAAAGCAACTCTACTGACAGCTCCGATGGCGCATCCTCGGGCAATGAAACAGCTCCAGAAAACAATACTGCGCCTGAGGAACCCCCTGCTGCTGAGGAGCCAGAAGTACCCGAGCAGACGGAGGAAGACAAAGAGAAGCAAGAGTGGGAGTTGCACATTTTAGCTTGCTTCAAAGACATGGCAACTGCCGATGCAAATCACGACGACTTTCTGAGTGCACACGAGGTTAGTACAGCCAGTATAGATCATAGTCGGTTTGTCGCCTTCTGCTTGCCAGAGATTTGTACTCACCTTCGTTTTGCTACTAAAGTATGAGCAATTCTGCAACATCTTTGCGAATCGTATCTTTGTCTCCCAGGATGTTCTCAGAAAGAAGCCACGATGGCAACTCGAGGAACTCTTCGAGGACCTGATCTTGGAAGATCGCTTTGGCGATGGAAAGGAGGAGGTCAACATCTTTGGGGCTCGTTTTGAAACCATAGAAGGCCTCGATAACAACCAAAACAGCTACCTACAGATGATCTGCAACCAATCCGAAAAGATTATTCGTCAACTTGGTCCCACGCAAGCGACAGCTGATAGGAGCAAGGAAGATTGCGATCTCCACAAGGGATCCGTCACCTATCACGGAACAAAGCCCCCTGAGGCGGTTCCTCCTGTTACGGTACATATCGTACACGGGGATAAATCGATAGTGGTGGGCAATATTACGATCGAAGATGCGCCACCACCAGCCAACAGCACTAACACAACAGATGCAAATCTCGTGACATTGGACACTGATACCTCCATCTCCGAAGTCTTGGATGCTGTTGCCGAGCTCTTTGATTACGAAGAGGGCCCCGAGGTGCCTGATGGTGTTCTAGCCAATGCTCCAGCCAATGCTACCCCACCTGCGAATGGTCCGGTCCCTGTGACCCCTCCAGCTCCAAAGTCTCTCAGTCTCCCACCAAACGCATCCAGCGCTGCAAAAGAAGCCGTTGCTGGTTCCAAAGGAAAAGGTAAGAAGGAGAAAGGCACCAATGCCACGCAGGTCAAAGCAACCGATGTGAATGCAACGGATGTGAATGCAACCGATGCGAACGAAACAAGTGCAAGGAACGACGATAGCGATGACGCGGTTGCAGACGATGATGCCGCATACGAGAGCCCTCTTGACTCGATTTTCGGTGCCGTTCAGGACTTTTTGGGTTTCGGTGGCGACGACGACGACGCTGTTGTTGATGACTCCGGGAATGTCACCAGTGGAGCCAATGGGACAGCAACCGGAGGAGGCAACGCTACCAGCAGCAACACGACGGACAGCGACGGTGACGGTGACGACGACGATGGTGGCAGCTTTTTAGACTCATTCTTGGGAGGTTCAGACGATAATGGCGTTACAAACAGCACCAACGCAACAAGCACCAACACAACGGATGGTAGCGGTGAAGACGATGATGCCAGCTTTTTAGACTCATTGTGGAGTGGTTCAGGTGATGATGATGATGCCGTCACCACAAACTCTACAGAAGGAAACTCTACAGAGGCAGACACGAATACAACAGAGGCCGATGATGACCTATTTTCTATATACACTACTCCCATATCCGAAGCATTGGATGCAGTTGCCGGATTGCTGGGAGGGGGAGAAGGAGAAGAGAGGCGGAATCTGCGTGGCGACGATCGAATTCGAGCTTTTCGAGCGAACTAACGATGAAGACAGTCAGGACCGGCATCCTGTGGTAGAGAAAAGCACAACTGACCAAGAAGGGAGCCTTTTGAAGGTAGTCCAGTAGAGTTAACTACCCTTAAATTCATGCATATCTTTTATTCTTGATTTCGGCCACTATTTAGAAGTCAAAGCATGGAAACTTTCGCCGACGGCACGAACCACACGGTCCAAGGCAAAGTACATCCTTAGAAGTTGCGATTCCTGTTGCCCTGGTAACCACCGCCTCCACCCTGGTATCCACCGCCTCCGCCCTGGTATCCACCGCCTCCGCCCTGGTAACCACCACCTCCACGGCCGCCACCGCCCTGATAACCTCCTCCACGTCCGCCACCGCCCTGATAACCACCGCCACCGCCCTGGTAACCACCGCCCCACCCTGGTAACCACCGCCGCCACCCTGGTAACCACCGCCGCCACCCTGGTAACCACCTCCACGACCGCCTCGTCCTCCCTGATAACCGCCACCACGTCCACCTCGTCCTCTTCCACCTCCGCCACGACCATCGCGTCCACCACGACCATCGCGTCCACCACGATAACCGCCACCACGGCCACCTCGTCCTCTTCCACCGCCGCCTCTGTATCCACCACGCCCACCACGACCGCCACGGCCAAAGCCTCCTTCACCGCCGCCATCGCCTCGATTCTTCCAGTGATGTTCATCCTTGTATCCGTAGAATCCGCTCTGTGAATCCAAAAGGCGTTCATTGGCTTCTACGAGAGAAGCGGTTTTCTCAGCAAACTGAAGTGCCATGACCTGCAACGACGTTGGCTCGACCTTTCGTAAGACAATGGTCTCTGTTGGTTGATCCCAGCTAGCATAGAGTTCTCGGTTGATCATCATCTTGGAGACTACACTGTGGACTTCATTCTTGCTCATTTCAAACATGGCGCAGAGCTGCGTCAAGGACAACGAATCATACTGAGCCGAGAAGGAGAAGAGATACGTCCGGAGCCCTTCCAGTTTGATCTTGGATATCAGCATCGTTTCCAGCTGCTCTGTGACGTTGTGCTCGCCAGGAATCAAATTCCAAACATCCAAGTGAGTCACCAAATCAGAACAAGTCTTCCAGTCTCCCTTCATCAATGACTTTGCGGCGCTCATCACAAAGTCACGAGTCTGCTCGGGAGGGCCCGTGAACACCTAAGGACGAGAAAGGGGAAAAGACAGCATTAGGCGTGAGAGGAATAAGGAACTGCCTTGCGAACGATCGAAGACACTGGCAATGAACAACCAAACCCTCGCATTCTTTCTTTCTTCGTACATACCTGATGATCGTACTGGTCATGGAACTTGCGGAAGGTCCGAGAAATGATTCGAGTTCGACGATTATTGTATTGATCCCCATCCATCGTGTTGGCCGCCATGTTGGGGACTTCCAGCAACATGGCACTGATCAAGTGACACGCCTCGAGCAGGTCCATGTTGATGTGTTGATGGTAGGGCACTTGTCGTCGCTTTTCGGCCTTTTCTTGATCGGCACTCTTGTCATTGAATCGACCCGAGCTGACCCCTTGTGCCAAGAGTTCTCGAACTCTTCCAGAGCAGATATCGGAGAGACACTGATGCGCATCAAAGATACGTCCCATTCGAAATGCACACATTCCCACGTTGACCATCATTCGGTTGAACATGATCATGGTCCCGACATCTTCGGAATTGTAAATGTTTTCTTGAATGTGACTCATGAGCAACAAATCGCGCGCTTCAAGAAAACGATCGTGGATGGCATGATGGTACACATGACAAATGACGGCCCGTGTTTTGGCGGCATCGGTTCCGTGCTTGTAGATGAATGTACAGAGTTCCGCCATGAGGACGGTCCAATCGGTAGCACTTGCCTTGGACGCCGCTTCGTCAATGGCCGGTTTACCCGCAGATGCTCCGGGATGCACTTTGGAATAGTCTGTTCCAATATTATTGTCGCCACCATCTACCCCGGCAGTCGTCAAACACGCCGGATGCAAAAGAGCAGCTTCTCCAAAGCGTTCGTAGAATTCGGCCGCACGATCGACATGCTTGGCAATGGTATCATGCCGATAATAGACATGTTCAATTCGAAGCTGCGCCAATCCTGCCGCTTCCGCCACCATATCTACCCGTTGAAAGTACTTTTGGAATCGTTCGAGCAAAACCACCAATTTGGATTCATCCCGGAGTCGCACCACGTACTCTTCGGAATGATGTGATATTTTGTTGAGACTCTTGGTGTATTCCTCTTCGAGTCGCGTCATGTGCAATGCGACGGATCCAACAACAGGAATTTGTTTCTTTTCTTCGTCGGTTAGCGTCGCTTCCTTTTCCAATCTTAATCGTTCGGCGCGTTCATCTTCGGTTTCGGGTTCCTTGGTATGAGGATTGATGAGTTTTTCGACTGCGGCAACGGCGGCCATGGCTCCATCACTGGCATTGGCGGCAGCCTTCATTTTGTTATTGGACTTGGTATTGGCCAACAAGATATCGGCTTCATCGAGTTCCTCTACCGTCAAGACATATCCCTCTTCGAGCACCGACGCAATCCGCGACAGATAGCCCGCACAGGATTTCCACGTGGCCGTTTCCATGCAATCATCCATATTCCGCAAGAGTGAGAATTGAGCACTAATCACATACATGAGAATGGGAATTTCAATACGAGGTCCATATTGGAGCGACAGACGCGAGAGTGCTTCCAGTTGTCGTAGTAGTACGCGTGGATCCTTTCCTCGGCGTCCTCGTTGTGCGGCAATTTCCTTGACCTTTTTGTTGAGCAATGCCGGGTTGAGTAGTGCTTCTGGAATGATGGATTTGGTTGCCGTGACGGCATCGGCAGCTTGTCTGGCGGCCAACTGCTGTGCTTCCTTTTGTGCCTGTCGGATTTTGAGTCTCTCTTCTTTGGTTCCTTCTTTTTCTTCCTTTTTGCTCTTTGCAACGGTATTCTTTTTGAGCCATCGTGCACGTCCCTTGAGTTGTGCGTATTCCTCTTCTTCGCCACTGGACGAAGACGATTCGGAATCGCTGCCCCATTCTTCATCACCATCACCGTCGGAATCGTCGTCATCGTCACCATCCGAATCATCATCACTGTCGTCGGACTGAAGCATACAAAGCAAGGACAGAAAGGGGGTGGAAGAGAGAGAGAGAGTTAGCACCAGGATGAATGAATGAATCAATAGACACATGTGTACAGTCTGTCGAATGTTGAAGTCACTCAATACGTTTGAACAAGACTTCTAACTTGCTATCTCATTCACTGGAGCCTGATCAGAAAGGACCACTTTGACAGTGACCATATGAACTGACCAAACTCCAGTAAGATCGGAAACGAGGAAATCCTCTTTGTCTCATAAAGAGACAAAGCTGATGGGGCATCCTTGTGACAAAGCCAATGACATACAGTACAATCAAACATACAATACAATGGCATACATGTAGATAGACACTTACATCATCAGAATCATCACTGTCATTTTTGACCTTCTTTTTCTTCTTGGCATCGCTGTCATCATCAGAATCATCACTGTCATCATCTGAGTCGTCTGAATCATCATCCTTTGCATCACTATCGTCATCCGAAGAATCATCGGAATCACTGACCACTGGATTGTCTCTGTAGTGTTTGATGACGACGGCATAGGCTTTGTTGTGTTTCTTAAGAGTGAGTTTCATGCGATTGAGAGCTCTTCCTTGCCTGGCACTCAGTTTTTTGAAGGCTTCTTTATCAGCCTGTCGTTCTGCGATATAGTCTTCTAGATCACAGAGAATTCGGACCAAAGGCCGTGGAACTCCCTGAGCCAAGACTGCTTTGCTTTTGACCATTTGCTTGGCTAACGCGTCAAATTCCTCCTGAACCGCGTAATAATCGCGTTGCTTCATGTGCTCGCGCAGTTTCTTAATGTGTCCGGCAAAATTCTCCAATGCTCTTTCCTTAGCGGATTTGACGACGCGCTGTTCTTCTTCACTCGAGTCACTGTCGCTCATGGCCACCCAACGATTGTCATTCTTCATGTTGCCGCCATCGCTTTCACTCGAATACTCACTGCTGTCGTCGCCGCTGCTTTCGCTGCCTGAAGAGGCGCCGCCTGCTGCCCAGAATCGTGACATACCGTACTTATATCTATCTAGATGTGTAGTTGGACTTAAGCCTACTACTTCTTGACTTAGGTCTCGTCTTGGCTTGATCAGGTAGTTTGAGTTAGCTCTACAAATTTACAATTTACTTGTTGGAGCTTGTGATTTGGTTTTGGTTTTTGGTCGTCGCGAAACGTTCCACTAGCTAGAGCAGGGAAGGTGCGCGTCTCAACTTACTTGTTTGTAGCTTCATAGCCGTAGAATCCACAAAAGAGGTCATGAGCCTGATCAAAAAGGATTGGCTTTGCTGCGTATTTACACCTCAACTTATTACACCGGATCCAACCCATGGATCCTCCATCTTTTTATGTGCTTGGCTGTGCTCAATTGCCAGACCAAGGCAATAGAGAAGCTACGACCCACGGTCCAGTCGAAGAAGAGATCGCATCCCACGAGCCATTCCATGCATGAATCCAGGCCCACAAAGCAACATGCCTACCCTTTCTGGTTGTTGCCAGAACTCCTCGCCTCTGTCTCTTTGCTACAGTATCATACCTTCTATAGCTAGTCTTCATGAGGACTGACTGGCCCGCCTCGTGAGAGTCGAGTCGGAGGAAACTTATTGAGACTTACTAGCTAGCTAGCTAGATGAGCTCGTCACACTTTCATTGTTTTCATTTGAAGTCGTGATGTTCTGTTGCATCCCGTCGTTTTCTTCGCGGACGACAGCACAACGATTCCACGAAGCGTGGTTTTCCACGCTAACGTTGAAGTGAGAAAACCATGATCGCACTCCATGGACGAGCGAGGCATCTACAAAAAACAACAGGCCAACAGACCTACTACTATCTATCTAGTATCCTATTTCGTTGCAAGCTACCAAACCAACTCTAGTACCCATTCAAGATGCAAGACCTATTGGACGTCATTATCAAGAAAACACCCGATGTCAAGGTACAAAGGGTGTGCTGTGGTTGCAACTTGCAAGAGCCAAAAGACGAGCCTTTTCAGAAATGCTGTCCTCAATGTCATCGTGAAAAGTTAGTTCCTGCACTCTTCTGCTCCCAAGAGTGCTTCCAGAATGCATGGCCACGACACAAACAATGGCACCAAGAAAAGGTACCATTCTTCAAGGAGGGAGTAGCACGCTGCCAGATTCCCATCTTTGCTCCTGAGGATCCATCACAATATGTAGCCCTGCTATGTGCATCCAACAAGAAAACATTCTCTGGTGACTTTAATGGTGCAAAGAAACTCGTCAGAAAAGCACTAAAACTAGACACAAGCCGTGTAGAAGCATACACAATTCTGGGCGAAACATATTGGCTGTCAGGACAAACTGAGGAAGCCAAATCATGTTTCAAAGAATCAATCAAGAAGGAAGCATTTGTTGCTTTGACGGGATGTAACGGGGACATCATAGTCACGGCAAACGCAGTATATCTAACCTTATGGGCCAGATCCGTCCAGTTCTTATGCAAAGGATACAGAAGCATTGCTGACAACGATGAGATTCAGACACCAAACTGGTTGTGCCATGATGGGATGATCAAACGAATCACAAAGGTGGCACTCAATGCATCCAGTAATGAAGGTCTGGTCCTGAAGCTGTCATACACAAGGGCTCATGTTCTGTTTCGGAAATTCAAGGTACTCCAGCAATGTCCAAGCCACTGGCAACAATACATGAATGACCCAAACAACTTGAATCGTACCGCTGAAGAGCTTCAAGAAGCAGCTACACTCTACCAGTTCGTGTCTCAAAGGAAAGATGAATTGACAGAGGTTGCAACAGAGTTGTCTGATCAAGCAAGTGCTTTTGCTGAAATGGTGAGCTCATGGGAACCATCCAAACGGACGGCTCTGGAGAAAGGCGAAGCTGGGATTTGGGTTGTGATGCATGGCTTTGAGGCACAAGCCGGGAAGGACATGAATGGCAAGTTTGGTTTGATCTTCAAGGATGGACTGGAACATGGTCGAGTTGCTGTCGAAGCGGATGGACACCCTGGAGAGGAACGTGTCCACCCCCAAAATCTCTGGCAAGTTCCCTTTTCGGAGATGGATTTGGCCCTCATTTCCACTCTGGATGAAGGTGTCCAGTGGAAGTATGTGCGGGCCTCCAGAGAACTACTCCTGGCCCGTTTTTTGGCTGGCTTTCTTGAAGAGGAAGAGTTCCAACAATTGATGGAGAAGTGGCATACACAAGTGAGTGAGTTCTGTGTCAAAGTGACTTGACTCCTCAAAGCCGGGAAAGCTCTCTAGCTCGAAACTGTCATTTCGAAAACGACAGCAGGGGTTTCTTCTTTCCTGCATTATAGATAGTTCTAGCTAGTAATATGGATATTAGCAATCAGTGATGTCGTCTAATTTGCTTTGGATGCAGTTTCCTTCATGCAACATACTGTACTTCTAGTAATGTAAATAGATCATACAAAAGCAATTTGGGCTCGTCGTTCTGAAACAGGAACATACTTTTGGAATAAAAGGATCATTTCTTCTTTTCCCGCTGTGGAACCCGACCCAAAGCAGCCACCACAGCAGCAAGAGGGGCAACTGGAGCAGCATGCTTGCTGCGGTTGTACTAGTTTGAGTGTGACACGTGCATTTTCTTTCCATCCAGGAGAATGAAGTTCGGTAATGTCTTTGATAGCCATTTGAAGAGGTTCTTGGGTAGCACATTTCAAGAACTGCACTCCACCGAAAAGTCCCGCAATCAATAGTAAAATGAAAATGGATACCCCTCTCGTACTGGAAGAATGTATCATAAGTGGGATCAAGAAAGGAACGGCCACGATAACCAGCAGAGCCATGGATGCCACAATGTAAAGTCGCCTTGTGTGGTACTTGGTCACTGGTTCGCCAATTATGTTCATCAGGTCCTTCCAGAGCTCTTCTAAGGCTTCGCCGCTCATCGAACTAGACGAAGATGCGCAGTGCTCTGCCAATCGAGCCGGCAACGGATTCCCAAGCGATGCCGTCGAGTACCCACCCTGGAACACTGGGTATAATCGTTTCATTGGCGGAAACACACCTAAGGGTATCACGAATCCAGCCGCAATGTCTTCTGGTATTTCTAGCTCTTCTTCCACTACCGGCTCTTCTTCTTCTTCGTCTGTTGCCGCTCCAAATGGATTGGTAAAGGTACCGTTAGCGGCACCATTAGCGGTAGCAGCTCCTTCCTCGGGCGAGGGTAGCAACGCTTCTGAGCTCATCCTTTCACTATCTGAAGTCTATGGATTGGATACTGGTAGTCAACCAAACACTGGGATGATAGCTCTACTCTGGTACCAGGTACCGTATCGATTGGAGCCGATTGATTGATGTCTGAGCTCTTCCTCGGTTGTGCTGCCATCGCTGGATCTCACGACTGTCGCCTTCTTTCTTGCTTCAACGGATGCATTAGATTCAGCCGGCTCAGCTGGAACAAGTGCTGTTTTATGACGTCATCTAGCCATGACTCAATAAACAGCCGGTTGAGCTGGGAATAATAAAGTGACCTGACGACAACACACCAGCAATAATGAGAGCTCAAGAAGATAGAAGGGTTCTTTTGCAAGATGGGACTTCCCAAACCACAGCTATCGATAGCCCATCTCTGGCCCCATGGCACACACTCTTTTTGAACTTCCTGCTACCAGGTACTATGCATAGCTAGAAGACTCAATCAAGTCAACTTCCGGACCATGTGGTTTAGACAAATCCAAAGAATCGAGAAATCCAAGTTCAGAAGAGCTTCACTGCATCGTGGAGTTACAATTGCCGCAATCGCCACTCTGCTGCTGCTAGTAACTATAGGAACCCTGACTCTGGTTGACCATGTCCACAGAAACAGAAAAAGACGTCTGAATGACAACATCACCACGAGGCCTCCAGCAATGACACCATCACCCACCATGGCACCCACCAGTACAGAAACCTTCGACCCAACTGTTACAGCTCAAGTCCAGGTCGTGGAGCTGTTTGGCACAGAATACAATGTTGCCAGCACATCGTCTCTGATTCGTTACACGGAAGGACTCAATGGTACCATTCCAACCGAGATAGGATTGCTAACTGAGTTGACAGGGTTGAATTTGGGAGTCAATAACTTGGTAGGAGAAATCCCCTCTGAAATTTCCATGCTGACGGCATTGAGGGAATTGTACTTGTTTTGGAACTTGTTATCCAACAGCATACCTTCTGAAATAGCATTGATGACACAGTTGACTCGATTGGCCTTGTACCACAACTTTTTCACTGGTAGCATCCCTACAGAGTTAGGACAGCTTACAGCATTAACATGGCTCAACTTGAAAGAAAACCAACTATCCAATGAAATTCCATCCCAGATTGGATCCTTGTCTGCATTGGAACACTTGACAATTGCTGACAATGAGATCTCCAAAAATCTTCCCACAGAGATTGGATTACTGACCGAGTTGACCTACTTGAGGTTGGCGCAAAACCAGGTATCGGGAAGCATCGTATCCGAAGTTGGATTGCTGACAGCATTGCAGTGGTTGTACATATCCCACAACAATTTGTCCAGCAGCATTCCCTCTGAAATCGCCATGCTCACTGCGTTGCGATCATTGTGGCTCTACAACAACTCACTATCTGGCAGCGTGCCCCAAAGTCTCTGTTCCAACTCATTTCTGTATCAAGTTGTTGTGGATTGCTTGCCCGATCCCTTTCACGTGGAATGTCCATGCATGGAGTGTGAATGTTTCTACTAGTAAGTACTGTAAATCCAATCAAAAAGGAATCGTCAAAGCATCATAGCAGACATGCTCTATTGCTAACCACGGATTTGCCGGTGTTGCTTTTGCCGTGCTACTATGCCGTTATTATCATTCGCAGCATGGTGATCGCCGGGAACCCGTAGTTTGACTTTGGACCAGCTGGATGACTTTTTATTAATAAGATTACGAGACCAGCTACAAGTGTTACAAACTCATCCATCCACCAATTGAGGTCATACAAAAGGAAAGATAGCAATGGTCACCCTCGCGCCCAATCTCATAATCACCATCCAGGCCAACAAATAATGCAAAGGAGAGTGTCTTACCAGACCGCGAAGCTTGAAGAAGTTATGACCTCAGCGGCCTTGCTGCCAGAGCTCTCACCTTCCGTAGATAGACTAGTCCAACTTCCCTACATACTCTAAAACCTGCCACTCTCTATGATGAAAGAATGAAAGAGGGGAAACCCATCGCGGTTCTCATTCGTGGATAATATCCAAGCACAATGTTGGCGTCATGGATCCGAGCAGCAGAACAGAACTCCAAAGTTCCGAAGTTGAGAGAAGGATGACAACCGTTCGCCAACCCCAACAGCCATAGAACAATCCATAGCATCCCCCAACAGCGATTGACTACTACCAGCTACTTACTAGCTAGCTAGCATACTGCCTAAAGGATGCTTCCTCTGATCAGGGCGCAATGCCCATTAGTGCTTTGGTTGCTGCTGCTTCATTGCAGTAGCCTTGGCGTCTTGGCGTTCCTCTCTCCTGGTCTGCCTCGCTCACTACGAGTAGCTAATTCAGAACTTGAAGCGTTGAACGGGAATCAACATGATGATAACGGTTGCGGAGGGAGTTTCATGGCATCAGTGGGTGCCTTGACGGGTCCTTATGTTCCATTGGGTAAGCAACGTGCCAAGTTTGCCAATGGTGGTTGTGGCGGTAGCCATATGAACTCTGTGGGAGCCTTCCCCGAGCAGTATGTACCGTTGTGCAAGGGAATGGTAGATCCAGCCAACACTCCTGATACGGTCGTCTACCAACAAGCCACGGGAATGTATCAGCTGTACCAAAAGAAACGAAAAGAAATGATCGAAAGAATCCAAGTAGAACCCGAGGACAGTACCAATCTCAAGACCACCCACACGGCCCCACCAGACTATAGCGGATCCGTGAATGATGATCCCTTTGAAACCATGCACAAAAGAGTGCAGCTTCGCATGAACCCCCACCCGGACCCGTCAGACTATATTACTATTGATTAATTAGTGGTTCCGTTTTGAATGATGATCCCTTTGAAACCATGCAAGAAAGAGTGAAGCTTTGCATGGTCACCAGATTAAAAAAAAGACAGGACGAGGACGTCCATTTGTGTATGTATAGGAACCGTATAAAGTAGCATGAAACAATTTTTTAAGTAATGTACAAAGAATTCACAAGGCATTAGTAGTTGCAGCGAGTTCGAATTCGAGAGACTACTGTAGTAGAGTAGCTACCGATAAACAAGAAGGATTTGATAGATTCTTATGAATAGGCAGAGTGGCAGCTTTGGTGGAGAGGATGCAGGGATTTACTCATTCCATCCTCCGTTCATCGTTGTTTTCTATCGGGACATCTATCACAGCTTGGTTGCATTTCTAAGCCAGCCAATTACACAAGAACTAGTAGCCTACAGTACCATCACCCTTTGAAATGATGTTCCGTTCCAAGGTATCGTATTTGCCGACGTGGTGACTTGGTAGATCAGGACTCCGCAGCTGCCACCAAGAATTTTGCTTATCCTTCGATGCACAACCGAGGTACGAGACTGAGGTGACTCCCACCAATACGGTAGAACTTGAGGGTGTGGGATTCCGTGTGCAAACACGAGGAACGGTTGTGCGCGGAGGCGACAGACAAGCAGTGGCGGATACGTTGAAAGGACCGTCTCCGATTCAGTTTGTCGTGCTGTGTCGTCGAGAGCGATCCTCCTGACTGACTATATTCCTATACTCCCATGCAACCGTAACTACACTAGTCTAGCAATGCCCATGTGATTTAACGTGGCAAATTATAGAGTGCTATACGGTACGCTTTCTATACTACTAGCTAGAGACCAACAGTTCGAAAGAGACATGTATGACGCGGTCGCACCCGTACAGTGCTTCTGAAGCACTCATTTGACAACCGTTCGTGAGGCATGGCCCCCTTCCATTGACGGCTTGCAGGAGGGGCATCTCGTTTGATTCGATCCATTCCATTTGATGACATGCCAAGGTTGCATCATTGCATCGACTTGACTTACCACCATTCATTTGGATTGGGTGGATTGTATTCTCGAATGGCATGAAGTCGTTTGTAGCTGGGATCATGATTATTGGGCTGTTGCGGTTCTTCTTCGGACGACGACTGCAGTTGCAGCAACTTGTCGAGTAGTGGTAGTTCGGTTCCCAACGTAAGTAGATCCTTGACATCAATGTTATCAGCGAGACGTCCATCGGGAGACTTGTGTGAATTGAGCAGCTTGAAATGAATGTATCTAGCCACAATGATTTTGGGCAAAAGTTTTTGTTGCCTAGCATTGAATCCAGAAGGAGGAGGGGGGAAGTTAAAAGCAGCAATGGGTAGATTTGTTGGTTGATGAGTGTGTTTGTGTTTTTCCGTGTATTGCTGTACTTGTCGAATAATGGTGGGGTGATCATCTAGAGTCATGCTGTTGGCCCATTGGGCTCCCTTTTTTCCATTGAACTGTCTGGCTTGTTCAATATCAATGGGTGTATTGGAAGTGAAGACCAGAGCTTGATGGAGAGGAGCCGAGTAGAAGTATCCTCCATTGGCAGCTTCAAAGGCAGCAATGAGACTTGGGGCAGGTAGCTCTAGTACCAGATCCACGTCATGATCCACCTGTGAATTGGTACACCAAGCCTTGTTAAAGAGTGACCCTTTCTGTGCCAATCTGATGGCATTTTCAGGAGGATAGCCAGGCACAGGAGATCCATCATCTGAAAAAACTACCCTGGGATTGAGGGGCTTCAAGCCGTGATTCTTCTGATCTTCTTTCAAGGCTTTGCGCTGCTCTGCCAAGTACTGGTAGACGCCTCTCCAGTCTACTAGTACCTGGTTATTCATTCCCTTGGTGGTAAGATACCCAAAATCCTCCTGAGCAAAGACATGCCAAAGGCAACGGCTGTCTTGGACCACTTGATTCCAGTGCCGAGAAACCATGGAACACTTGCTGGTACCTTCTGCACCCAAAAACTGGAAAATATCCACCAGCACATCTTCTGTCAATCCGTCGATCTGAAGGGTATTATTATTAATACAGGTAGCATTCTTACTAGCACTCTTAGTAGCAGGCATTCTCACGCTGATCTCCAAGGGAGGACGATCCACTTCTTCTCCCATCTTGATACTTAATAAGTCAATACGGGGTAGACAAGGAAAGATAATGAAGATAATGAAGATAGCGAAGATAAGGGTATATACCTTTGACTTGAGATTGGAAGCAATGATTAGGTGATGGGAGGCTTCCTTTTGATGGAGTATTCAGCAGGCTTTCTAGGAAAAAGAAAGCAGATTGTGATTCATTCCGCGAAGGGCTAATGAACGAGAAGTGCGATCTTGTTGGCTGCATACAGCATGAAATCGCCATCTGTTGCCCGTGTCTTTGAGAGCTTTTGAGAACCACCATCTGCCGTTGTGTTCCATCTGCGTTGTGCGTGTGTTCCGCTTGGCAGCAGTCGTGTGAATGTGTGACTAGTCCATCGTGGAAACTCACAAAGATCACACGAGTTGCCACGGTCAAGCCGCCTTCCACAGAATACAGTCAACCTATCTTGTCGTGCGCTCCAGCAATCTCGTCATTTCTTTCGGATATTCTCTCTCCACCCTTCCAACCAAGTACCATGTCATCCGCTGCTGCATCGGGTCGTTCCAGAGATGTGGCGGGCTGCTTCCTCTTCAAGGAGTACTCCGAAATCAAGCCAAAGGGAAACTTGCAGGCCATCGTGTCCTACTTTCAGAGGCCCTGCAACTCACCAGAGTTCATTGCCTTTTGTACCAACGCTGGATTTTCCAACTCTTCCTTTCATGCCAACCCCCAGTTAAAGCCAGGGAATCCAGCCCACGACAAATTTCAAAAAGCTATCAAGGATCTGGATCACAAGGCGGTTTTCGGCTTTGCCTTCCATGGGACGGCTACACACAACCTCGAATCCATTCTACGCAACGGATTGGATCCTCACAAACGACGTGGACAAGCATATGGTCCTGGTGAGTACTTTGGAAAAGATCCGGGTATTTCTGTCGGCTACTGCAAAGGAGGATTGCAAATGCTCGTTTTTGTCGTTGTCCTGCCTTCTACGCTTCCTCCTTCCTCCGCCAGTACCCACCACACTGTCCCCGATGACTTTTTGGTGGTCAATAACAATGCCCACCAAGTGCCCATTGGCACCTTAAAGTTTACATCGGTCAACCAGGAAGTCCTGAAGTTGTCCCAGACGAAACGCAAACAGTTTTTGCAACTGAGCAAGCAAGTCTTTGACAAGAGCCAGATTGCCGAAGAGGGCAAAATCAAAGCACGCATCATCGAATACCTCATCAAAGGCACGTTTGATCTGGCATCCGAGCTCTACGAAAAGAATACAACAGTCTTGAAAGATACATCCAAGAGAGAGCTGGCATGGTATTGTCATTCCACCATGGACAAGGAGATTATTTCATTCTACTTTTCCGATCTACCGCATCCAATGAACTCGCAGGAGCTTGCCAAAGCAAAGATTCAAAGTGTCGATGATGCCATGGTTGACCTTTGTAAGGCGATGCAGAATCTGGAGAATGAGAGACCAGGGACTTGGAGCTTGGGCTACTAGCTAGCTGGAAGTCATGTACGACTTGGGAGATGATTTGTCGAATAATGCAAACTTCAAAAGGTGCAACTCCTTTAGCATTCAATCATCATTACCATGAGCAACGAAGATCTGGGGCGTCCTTATACCGCATTATATATTATGAATAAACTGATAGTCGGGATTGCTGCATAGATGTATCTCGTTTCTGTTTCCAGGTTCCTGCTCTTTTTCGAACTGCCCATCTTCAATCATCCAGTACTTCCGATCGAAGGAATCACATTCATGATCCATCGCCCGAGCTGCTTCCACATTCTGAAGCGGCTGGGCAATTCTGAAGCGGCTGGGCAATGTTGTTCCTCAGGCAATGTTGTTCCTCAAGCACATGAAGGGTTGTGAGTGGCTGTTTAAAGGTTCTCAAAATTGGTTCACCATTTCAAGAGAGCTCAAGAGGGAACGGTAGGCTTTGTCGTTCTTTCCCGTCGAAAGTTTTCTCCATGACTTCATTGACCTGTTCAAATGGGACCACTTCGGCCTTCCAACCATCGGGGGTCCTCCGTGACGATTTGCTGTCCATCATCTGTCAACTGCAACATTCGCCTCATGCGTCTGGTTCCCGTGATGATGGATCCAGGCAATCTTTTCCCTTTGCCATTGCATAAGGCTTGGGTCACCAGAGGTCCATCGTCAGAGCTCACTTTGCTTTTGCTTTTCTTTGCTTTCAAAGTTGTATGGAGCCATGGGAAGGCAGATTCGTGGGATATGGAATTTGTGGCGATTGGATCATTCTCCGTTTGCAAAGCCCGATGCCGGTGCTTGCTAGCATGCACGCACGACGAAAACGTATCTTTTGCTTGTATGTACACGTCATTCAATATTAATGGCAGACACAACGACCTTGCTTGTGTTCTCTCGCGCGACGACGACTAAGGCTTGTACACGCACCATGCGAAAGGAGAGCCACGTAAGGTACCCTTGAAGATTAAAGTAAGTTGTCACTTATATCCTCCACCTGCAGGGGCCAAAGTTTTTGCTTTATGCAGATTTAATAACCGTTTCGGTGTGAACAGCCAGGACATAATACCTTGCTTCTTTGATGGACTTTCAACAGACACAGACATCAATGCATACGATATGAGACTTATGCTATTCTTAGAATTGCTTCAGTTTTTTCGACAATCGGGATTCGGGATACCGGTGGACCGGTGGACCGGTGGTATTGGTATTTTAAAAAATACCATAATATTATCTATGTGCAATGTGCATGGCGAGGAGTCTGACTCGACTCGATCAGTGTACCGGTACCGGTACAGTACACTGTAGAGGCTTATTTGTGAGCTGTCCCCTTGCATCTGGCCTACACTTTGTGTATGCAAGAATTACTCCGTTCCGCTGCCAAAACCATAGCCAGCCGATCCCCTACCGGTATCTCAAATTAGATCTTGTCGTCGCATAGTCTTGCGGCAAGAAAGAGCGCATAGAATGCAAATCTGATTCTCAAGAACTCACGAAACAATGACATCGTTTTCTCCCCTACATTGCTTCTTTGCCGCCAATTTTCCACAGCTTCAGAAAGGAGCTGATACCCCTGTCGCCGTTGTAATAGTGAGCGATCATTCGAGGGGATTGCCACCCAAAGAGGCCCTGAGCGGAACAAGACGTCTGCACAAACCTCAACAGCATCGGCTATCATCATCTGCGCCAAACAATACAGGCACTTCACGCTGGAAGAGTGAGATCCGAGTCCTCGCAGCTCCAAATGTTCCTCCAAGTCCCCAAGCGCTCGAACTACATGTTGATCCAAATGCTGGATGTCATTGGCAATCCTCATCGTCATCATCATTGCAGTCAGTTTCTTCCAAGATGAATTCATCGAGTGCTCTCTCTGATACGGTAGCCCCTAGGCTTCCTTTACGACAGAGCAGCATGCGAAAGTCTGCTGCTGAGCGATCTGGAGAGGGCCGAGGAAGCAACGACATCTGCAGCATCAAAAGATTCAATTCCAGTACAGACTCGGTGGCATCGGTCAAGGAAAGCAACCTCCCTACAGCAGGGTTTTTGCAACCCAAACTTTGTCAGTTCGCCGCCGGCGAAAGAGACAACGGGAAAACGAAGATCGAGACACATAGAGGGGACCATAGTAGATCTCCCCCACGCAGACCACGTCGAATGAAGAGTCTGGACGGCAGCCTCGCAACGACAAAAACATCGGTATCTGCGGTACTGCAAGCAGCATGATCTGAGACGGTGAGGATGATTCTATTCTGAAATCTGGATCAAGCCAAGAAATGCGAGCTACGTCGTGTGCCAAAGTTCGTGGCATTCAAACTACTAATCTTCCCGTGAAACTAATCTTTCCTCCTATAGCTACGTACCCCGCCCTCTCCCTGCCATTTCCCGCCACAGGTGTCCTACACGTACCAGGTACTCTGTCTAGCTAGCTTTGCCCCCCTCCCTCCTTAACACGTTCATTTATTGTTAGTACTAGATCTAGTAGTCGTTATTTTCATCAACGCGAACAGCATCCATGCACTGCATGACTGCATCCTACATCTCTGCATGGTGGAGGCGTTGATGGTGCTATGACATACAGTAGCTCGAGTGGTCGAAGATTTGGACCTGCCGAAAGAAAGTGTCATCACAAACGAAAGTGTCTGTTAAGTATCTTTCTTGGGAACCGCAAGATGCGGAAGCTGGAGCCGGCATTACTTACGGCCGGGGTGCAATGGCGATGCCAAAGAACACTCGGCTTCCTTCTTGGTTTGAGAGGGTTATCAGATCTCTTGCCCCTGGTTAAAGAGGGGTATCGAATTGTTCAAAAGCTTTTAGAAAGGCTTAAACCATGCTCCAAATATTTTGACGCGACTTCCATCGCATCGCCACCTCCGATGCTGTTGCAGAGCGTTGGAAGATTCTTTCATGGGTTCATGGTACCGCACCGTACCACTATGCATACCGGTGGAACCGGTTGGTATGGTAGCATCCTGGCCAGCTACCATCGGAAATTGGTACAACCAACCATTCCTTTACTACTAGCTAGAACCCCGCAACCTCCACTGCTGTTTGTTGTACTACTTCATTGGCTATTTTTTGTTATCAAGAAAAATGCTAGTCTCCCCAATCCGCGTGTCAGCCCTTGTGGCTCTGCTTTCTGCTAGTACATGTAGCACAGCATGGGCCTATCCCAACATGAAGTCGTCGGTACATGAACCGGTAGCCTCAGAAGAGGTTTCTGACAAGCTTGATTCCCCCTGTCCAATGGCACGCCGCCGAGCCTCGGAAGCTTTTGATGCCTTGACAGCGGAACGTATGGCTCGTATTGAAGAGTGGGAAGCATGGGAAGCCACTCAGCTAGAAGAGGATCCCCTTCTTTCTCAACGCTTGTATTCGCCTGGAGAAGCCAATGAAGGGGAGGAGTTCTGTGATGGCAGTGAAGACTATCAGTACTGCAACAAGGTAGGTTCCTACGAGTATATAGCAACTTACCTTGTCTTATCCTGTATCGTTTCTTGTTTGCTTCTGCTTCCTCAAACATCATTTCTTATGCTCTGCCTATGTTTTTGTTTTGAATGTATATAAAACTTCAGATCCATGGTCCATGGGGAGACAGTATCCCCCAGAATGAAACATACTGCCTCTGGGCAATCCTCGAGTTCCAAGACCCACTTTTCTTTGGATGGGGAGTTGATGAGGGTAATACGAGTGCTTTCAATGGCATTTTTCAGGCTACTATCGGAAGTGTTATCCCTTTCATGGAACAAGGTCAGGTTATGTATATTGGCGCGACTGGAGGGGTCGCAATGAATGAATCCCATTCAGTTCCTTGGCCAACCGCTTCCATTATTTGGGCAGATGGTAACAAGTACGGAAAGGGTTGGATCGAAGGTGTTCATCGTGCACAGCAAAGTGCTGGCTACGGTTTTGGTTTTGCTGGTCATGTTCACTTCAAGGCTGTCGTTTGTGATGAAGTAGATCCCATGCTTGCGAAGCACGGTCTCTTTAACGAGTCCACGATGGAGGACATGTGGACTGCAGAGAGATTTGTATCAGGAACTTATGGATTCCGTAATTATTGGAATGCCTTTGCCGAAATGGAGGATCACAGTCCTACATTCTATGATGCAGCAAGATCATGTACATTGGCACCTTGTCCTCTGGAGTCTGGGACTGATGTTGAGAGTGATGGTGATGCTGAAAATTTGATGGAAAGCGATGGTGATGGAGACCAAGTTGAGGATGGTGGCAATGCCACAGAGGACGGAGGTGCAGAAAGCGAATCTGGTGAGGCAAGTGGAGGTGACGAAGACAAGGAAGATGCCGGTACATCTGCTGGACTCTCAATTGGGGCTGTGAAGAGCTTTGGATTTTTGGCAATTGCCAGCGTTGCCTCCTTTATTTTGATTTAGCCTCTTTGGTCTGGTCTACCGAGGAAATTGCATGGTTCTTGATGTACTGTAACAAAGAAAAGTCTTGTGCAGAACTCCCTATTGTTTCCGATTGTCAAAATATTTTAACATATTTTGTCACTTGTGTTTATTAATCCTTGTTTTGTTGCTGTGGTGTCTAACTAAAAGGACTGCATACCCATGAGGTACCTATAGGCCAATGCAGCCGTGGACTGCTGGCACCACTTGATACCAGTTGGTACATAATTTCCCTACTCTGAACCCTTGTGGTATTGTACCGGTACCATACTAGTAGCATCGCGCAACAAAAAGGAATGAGGTCTCATTTCTGGAAGCTCTTTGCCGCCCTGCGCAAGTGTGACTCAATTTTATTAAGTATCTTTGCTTTTTGACGAGCTGCCTCGAGCCGTGCCGGTGCAGCATCTGGGGAGAAACAAAACCAAGATCATGATCACGGCGTCGATATCCGATTATCTGTTCTCGACTGTACTACCAGCCTGTTCTCGACTGTACTACCAGCCAGGGCGGTAGTTGCAGCGGCACTACATGTCCTTCATCTATTTCGGCCTTCACTGCTGTCCTGCACAGAAGATCCATCTCGAGGCATGTTCCTTTGAACTTCAGAGACTTGTCCTAAGAAAGCCAAGACCCCAAGTCTCCTTCGCAACACCGAAATAGAAACTTTGCTTGCACTGCGATGATGCACTTGTTAGTCCTCCTTCCAACATTGGCTCTGCCCCTGATATCTGCGGCATCTGAGCCTTTCGAGTCTATTAGTAGTGATTCTTCGCATCGATGGCTACGACAACGTCGCCTTGGGGAGGACTTGAATGATACCGGGACTACCGGAACCGGTACGAGCTGGAACGGGACTTCCTTTGGCTTGTCGGATCAACGAGACCTGATTATCAACGAAAAGCCTGCCGTCGAAAAAGAGAATGAAATTTTCAATCCGCTGACGCTTCTTGAAATTTCCGGTCATCGAGTCAATGCCACTGAATACCCCTTCTTTGCCCACTGGAGCAAGGCGTACTGCGGAGCTTCCTTGGTTGCGCCTGATATACTCTTGACGGCGGCGCACTGTGGCTCCAGGGATAATCCACTCGAAGATAAGATTGTGCGAATGATCTCCAGCAATCGATTGGACGGCGGGATTCGGAGGGTCGTCGTTCACCAAGAGACACATCCAGACTACAATCACGAATTGCACGTGTGGGACTTTCAGCTGCTCAAACTGGAAAAGTCGGCCCTGGTAACGCGAGATGGCAACAGACTCACGGGAGCCAAGGTTGTCCCCTTGAATGAAGATTACTATTATCCGCCCGTAGGTACCGACCTCACGGCCCTCGGATTTGGAACTACAACACCCGATGGATCCACCGGGCCGTCCAATTTCCTCATGGATGTTCAGTTCAAACGTTTCCCGAATCATCGATGTGAACTCCAGTACGGGCCCAAGCGAATCCCGAGCGAGAACATGCTTTGTATGGGAGAAGAAGGTGGAGGCAAAGATGTCTGCCAAGGTAAAACCATTCCAGCACTTCACTCCACAGACCGATAAACATCGTGTCGTAGCTCACTTTCTCTCTCCCAAACTTTCGTTCTTTCCTACTGTGTACATTAGGTGACTCAGGAGGACCCATTGTCGATGAACATGGTATGCAAGTCGCCGTTGTGTCTTGGGGACATGGTTGCGGAGAGGCGTCATACTTTGGAGCCAACGCCCGTGTATCAGCTGCTACGGAGTGGATTCACCGACAAATCTGTCGTCTCAGTTCGTATCCACCCAACACCTGCAGCAAGGGAGACATGATCAGTGCCATTCATCGTATTCCAGTCAAATGGGCAGCAAAGAACCTTCAGACACCAAACACTGGTACCACCACCCTCACTGTCACGGTCAAGCATGACAAGTATCCAAAGGAAACCGCATGGGACTTGTTGCATCTTGACAGCTGGGTACAGCTGGATTGGCAATCCTACGCACTGGTCACGGAACCCTTCACAACTGTTAGCAAGTCGTATCCCGACCTACCCGGTGGAACATATCAGTTTCGGATTGGGGACAAACGCTGGGATGGCATGTGCTGCAAGTATGGACAAGGGAGCATTGCCATTTCCGTCTCCACGCCTACCTCCAACCGAACCCTCTGGCAGCATGATGGCAACTTTTCGAGATTCCTCCAGTACACCTTTGAATTGAGCGACAACGCCACCTTGGTGTGGAAAGAAGAGACACAAACCTACACTAGCCCCAGCATGGCGGCGACCAAACGAAACAATATTGTGGACGAAAACAATCCAATGAAGAATGATGTTGACTGGCCTGGGGTATTTCCACTGCAATCCGAGCCAAACGCAATGTCAGTCAATGTACGGCATGACGATTTCCCAAAGCAGGTACGTTGCTTCTTGTTTCAAGAAAGCAAAATGAGATCTGTTCAAGTAAACAAGCAAAAGGAACTGACCCCTGCTGTTGTTGTTCCATGAAATTCAGGTCGAATGGGCCGTTTGGTGGTACAAACCGAAACATGAAGAATCCAGCACCGCCCACACGAGCAATTCCACTTCTGTCGAGGAAAAGGAGGGGCTTCGTCACCTGGGTCACAGCAACCACGAAGACGGCGACAGCGATGGGAGCCAAACAATGACGCAACGTAGCCAAGATGGCGACGACGGCAAGTCCCACAGGGTCTTATTAATGAAAAACGAGGAAGGTGAGAAGGAGCGCATGTTCTCACGAAGGGAGCTTGACGACACAGTACCCGGCACTTCAGCCCCAGTTTCGGCTGCACCGATCACTGGTGCACCGGTGACGGCCTCTCCAGTGTCATCCGCTCCAATATCCCATCCGCCGGTGACCTCAGCACCAGTTTCTTCGGCCCCAATCACTCAGCAGCCAATCACTCAAGGCCCGATCACTTCATCCCCAATCTCTTCCTCGCCCGTCACCGGGTCTCCTGTAACTGCTTTGCCGGCCTCGCCCGTTTCGGCTCCCCCAGTCTCTGCACCGCCGGTTACGGCGCCACCTGTCAGTGCTTCGCCCATCACCGGAGCTCCCATAACAGCACCGCCAATCACATCGCCACCCGTGACGGCTCCGCCTGTAACGGCACCGCCGACAGGCTCAGTCTTTCGAGATGGCGAGAACACAGAGAGGTCAAGCAACAAAGACAAGAAGAGTGGTGCTCCACTCACAGGAGATCAGAGAGCCAGGCGTCGATTGGGCGAAATGCAGCAGTCCAAATGGTTCCATAGAGATGACGCAAGACTGGCAGCACTGCGTCGTGGGGGTTCTTCCATCGTCAGCCTCCAAAGAGACGGGGAGAACCTTGATCAACCCAGGCCAGAACAGTCAAACAAAGAAGAGGAAAAAGCCTTTCACAATGTGGCTTTTGCAGAAGCCAATGGCAGTCCACAGACCAGAGGGGCAAATTCTGCACAGCCAAAACATAGAGAACCAGACAAGGATGAAGAGGAGACACAAAGGACTGCAAGCAGTCAAGACTCTGCCAAGATGCAAAATACAAAGAGGAACCCAAGGGGTGTGGAAACTAGCAGTGGAGAGCCGTTATTCACTCTCGAACCAGACAAGGATGAAGAGGAGACACAAAGGACTGCAAGCAGTCAAAACTCTGCCAACAAGCAAAATACCAAGAGGAACCCAAGGGGTGTAGAAACTAGTAATGGGGTGCCATTATTCAGTCTCGAAGATGAGATCTTTAAAGCCACACAAGGGAACAAAAATGAAAAGTCTGGCAACCAGGATCCAGACAAAGATGAAGCACAGAACCCTGAAAATGAAGGCAGTGGTGAAGGGGTGCTGTCATTCAGCCATGCTGGTGACCCAGAAAGGGCAAGAGCAGACAAGGAAGAGATATCACAAAGTATGTCTGGGCACAGGGATCCAGAAAAGGATGAAACACAGAGGTCTGTACATGTAGAGAAGAAGTCTGGAGATGGTGGCAGTGGTGAAGAAGTGGCAATGTCATTCAGCCATGCTGGTGACCCAGAGAGAGCTAGCGCAGACAAGGCAGAGACATTAGAAAGCAAGGAAGAAGTGGATGGGCACAGAACGAGGGAAGAGGCAGAAGAACAGAGATCTGAAGATGGTGGCAGTGGTGAAGGGGTTTTATCGTTCAGCCATGCAGGTGATCCAGAAAGGGCAAGAGCAGACAATGAAGAGACATCAGAAAATACGCTGGGGCTCAAGGATCCAGACAAGGACAAACTGCAGAAGGCTAGCAAATCTCTGGACGAGGAGAGAGATGGTGAGAGCATTGAGTCAGAACTTGAAAAGTCCTTCTCATTTGGGGATTTTCTATTTGGTAGCAACCAAGAGGAAGGGCTTCTAGCAGATGATGAGCAAGGTTCCCCTGCTAATGGGTCCAGTCCTGATGTTTTTGCCACTGCTGAAAATGTGAAGACTGGCAATGCTAGCGTAGCAGAATCCAGTCTTCAACCTGCTCATATTCCTCCCAAATTGGGAAATTCAACAGGGCTGGATCCCTCGAAGCACAAATGGACAAAACTTTGGGAGTCAGGGAAGAAAAGTGGCCTCTCCAACACTCTTGAAACTCGCATCTTTTATCATCTGAAGCCTGGCCTCTATGCTTTTGTGGGTATCAGATTTGTGTAATGGCTATGTTTTGGATGATTGATTGATTCAGCTGATCTCTATGTTCCTTCTCTTTGTTTTTGCGGGGATCAGATTTTGCGTGATAGTAAGGGAGATGGAATTTGCTGTGCTGTAAGTCTCATACCAGTTGACGGTTTCCCAGGCATCCTGAATCATATCTGACTCGAATCCTGTACTTGTATCACTTGACACAGCATCGATTTGGATGGCTGACAATATTGGGAAACCAAACTATAGCGTGGAGTAACAATGGTGAATTCAAAGAAAAGGTGCAGGTCATTGTGGAACTACGCAAGGATGGAACGTTCAAAGTCATTGAAACTACCATTGACGGGAAGGATGCTAGTGGAATCCTACAGCCACATCTCTATCCCCCAATGGTTTACACCAACACAACAAATGTCACCATTGTTCCTGCTGAGGATGAAGTATTTGTCGCTGCACACCATAATGAGACTCGGCGCTAGCTAGAGTCCTCATCCAAGGTGCGGGGAGATGTCACGATTGAGGCGACGAAAGGAACGGTCAGCCAGCGAGTTGTTCGCAGGTATATCAGAGCAGTTGGGAAGCTTAGGAGCTTGTCGTGCTGGACTCCAATGGTGACTTCTGAAAGCGCCCCAGTCATAAAGCCACAGCATTCTCGATGCTTTGCAGCCGGGAGCTGCACCAGTAACGTACTAGGTACCAATGGCTTAGCGATGTCCATGTATTCGCGTATGACTTTTTTGTGTCCCTTTATCTACAAGGTGATTTAACGTCGGATTCTCTTCAAAAATTCGTTTAATCGCGTATGACTTCCTGGGTTCGGTAAGGTAGTGGTGCGATTTGCAGAAAAATTTTACTATTAATTAGTAATGAACGAGGCGAGATGCATGTGCAGACATGTAGTCGGCCGTTCACATCGCACCATTAGTTCAATTGTGGAGACATGTAATCCCTTACCGTAGACAGCCTAACCAACTTCGGAAATGGCCAACGAAGATCAAAGAGATACCAGGTACCTCTCGTCTCTCCCCAAGCAGCCATCTAACCAGCTCATGCAGAAAGAGGAAGACAATGTCCAGTGTGGCAGAGAACACTCAAAAGAGGATGGGTTCGTGTGATTCATTCTCATTTTTGCCATCCTTTCACACAAGGCTTGACTGTTCAGTAGAAGCTGTCCTTATGATATGATGCCCTGTCCTGTGCTGGCTCGCTGGCTCACGAAAAGAATTGAAGCGCCTTCTGCCTTCTGCTCGCTCATCGGTCATTAATGAAACGATTGTAGCTCAAAGCACAGTCGTTGCTGCGTCTAGTCAGTACCAAAAGCAAGTTCACCTGCATTGTTTGTGATAATCGATGAAATGAACAGTAACTTCTAGTTAGCTGGATTTCAGCAAGCATTGCATCTGCAACGCCCACAGCCATCTTTTCGTGACCTTTGATATCTGCGGTGGGGACGAAGGACAACTGTGTGGTTAATGAGGGGCAACCAGGGAAATGCGCCGAAAGATAAGGCGAATACCACCCCTGATCCATCCAATATTCTTTCTACGCATTATCACCGGTGAGACAACCAGAAAGAATAGAGCAATACTTTCCGCAATTGCTTCCTTGCTCAACTAAGTCAGTAAGTCAGTGCTACCCTTCCGAAAATCTATGCATGGTAGCATGATCGTAAACCCCTCTGAAACCGAATCATCATGGGTCCAAATGACTTTATTTTATTAAGTCTGCCTTTCTACCGTAACACCAAGACCTCAACCGAAGCTTGATATTCAGCTCTACTTTCGTCCGCCTTGTTGTGACACAGCCGTATGTATCTTAGATCAGAGCTGCACGGAAGAGATCAGAGCTGCACGGTGAGCTGGACAGAGTGTTGGGCTCACAAAATAAATGAAACCATCTTGAAGGGAACCTACAGCACTAAATTACATCTCATAGCCGACCTTCACCATGACAAATCCATTGCAAAACAGACGACAGCTCGAAGAGGAAATGCAGGGACGGCTGAAAGCAATAATGAAACATCCCGGCAACAGGACGTGCTCCGAATGCCCAGAGCCACGGCCCACCTGGGCTTTCCTTTTGGAGTCGCCCGTCGACGGTGGCGATAAACTCGGGGCCCTCTGCTGTTACAACTGCTACAGCCATCATTTTCGTTTAGGCAAAACAGTCTGTACCGTCAAGAGTGCCATGATGGCAGCAGAATGTAAGTTACCACTCTTTGCTTTTCTCAGCAAAACACTTCAAAAGATACTACTCAGCGCTCACTAAAACAGATTACTTTGGTTGGTTTCACTTCAGGGACTCAAGAGGAGATCGAAGTTGTCCAGAAAAGCGGCAACACCATGGTCAATGCTATCTACGAAGCATTCTTGGAGGATCCGATCAATGAGAAGCAGGACATGAAGAACTTTGTGGAAAACAAATACCAGCACCGCCAGTTCTTCAGTGAGCAAGCTTACTACGATCAAGTCACACTCCCCTGCATGGGACGAAGAGCCAAGGCCCAGCTGAAGAGAACCTCATCCTTTCGGAGTACTGCTGATCAGCATGAACGATCTGAGGAAACGCCACCATCCATGTTGGACATGAAGCGGCCAACCTTGCATCGGTCAAGGTCTACGAAAATGGGCAAACACGGCAGCAAGAGAGAGTTGGTGCGTACACCATCCGAAAGTACCCGGCGTAATTCTCGAAAGACCCCTTGTGTGCTCCAAGCCATGTCGGATCATGCGAGACGATCTTCACGCAAGCTCCAGACGGAGTTTCCTGAAGAAAGAAGCTTGGACACTCCATCCGATCACCATCGGCGGCCAACAAGAAGGTCCCTGTCGAAAGATAGGCTCAAGGCCATGTCCGATCATGCAAGGCGGGCATCTTCCTCCAGGAGCCGATCTCGAGAGAGGATCTTGGCAATGTCTGAGGCAATCAAGTCGCCTTCATCTGGACACAGCAGTCGGTCCCATGATGACGAAGTGACCCCAAATCCCAGGAGACGTTCGTCCAGCCGAAGCCGATCTCGCGAGAGCATGTTGGCCATGTCAGAAGCCATTCACAAGTCCCCTTCCTCAGGAGGAAGCAAGACTTCGTGGCATAGCGAGGAGCAGCTAGTTCACAAGTCACCCCGCCGAAGCGGGTCTCAAGAACGCATCAAGGCACTGTCGGACCACCTCGGGGGGGTCAACATTGGCCATACTCTGTTTCCTTCGTACCACCCAGATCACGAGCCAGCAACGATGCCTCCACGAGGTCGTCGCCCCCAGCTCACGAGGCATCACTCGGAGCGCCATGTCGTCGCCCGCACGAGTACCAATCATCTGGAGACGACTCCCATGGGTGAACCACCGAATCTAAGAAGAGTAAGGACCTGTTCCTGCGACGAAATTGACTTCTCGAAAGAGCCAATCTCGAGGATGGGAATCCCCCACGACATGGTGGAACCTCGATCCGTGCGCACCCTTGCGGTTACACAAGAGGAACTCGACTCGTCTTCGGAGCAAGCTTGTCTGCCGTACAATCTTCCTGGCTACTTGGGAGGCTCGTTGCATTCCTCGCATGGCAACCTCGATTATCAGGTCGATGCCAGTACATGTAATAGTAGGGACCATCAGCAACAAGAGGATACGGAGTCGAGCTTGGCCGACTATGTAAAACGTTACGAGCTCTCTCGCCAAGCAAGAAGATCTCCAGCACCACCCGCCTCGTCTGCATCCATGGAGCATATTGAGTTTGGGGACGAGTTTGGCCGTGAGGGAGAATTTCGCGTCCATCCAGTTTCCTGCGAGGAGAAGAATGGCTGCGCGGTTCGACTTGCTTTGGAGAGTCTCGAGTCTTCCATTCAACCTTTGGTGGTTGGACATGCTGCTTCGAGTACAAATGACGTATTGGACGACAAGAGTGTGGACACTGCATTTTGGAAAAGTAAGATTTCCGCCCTCAATGACAAATGTGACAGTAGTAGTGACTGGAAGCACAGAGGCAGCAGGAGTTTGCACCCAACTGAACCCCCAGCACTTTCTCTGACGGGTTCTTCGCTTCCCGAGCAACTCAGTGCCAACGGACGTGCGGCTTAGCTGAATACACACATACTATATATGGGTCGTTCGTTTGACGAGCCCATGATTTGATAAAAGTTTATAAGTTAGTTCATTTGATTTGACCTATGCATAGCAACGATGACCTGGACCACGTTGAAGCCTCAGAGTAGGCCCAGGACATCCATTGCATTGCTTCTTCTTGGTTGCTTATTCTCGCTAGCTCTGGCTTGCCCAACTCGTATCCTGACTGTGACGCCATCATCATCAACATCATCTGAGTTTGCCAGGTTCACGGATCCAGTCAAGACCGGTGTCGGACGCTGGTAGACTTGTAGAATTAACAGTGATGGGTGGAAGCGTGGAAGCACATGTTTTTTATAAGGTTGGTTGCCGTGCAAACCTTTTGGGCCTTGTCGGGCCGTAAGTACCAGTTGACTGAATGACCAATTTGGAACGAATGATTGTCAATTGCATGAGTATTTAGAAGTTTGGAACCAAATTTGTTGTAGGAGTAGACTGAGAGATTTAGTAGATCATTCCAGTGAGAATGGCCAACGACACACATAATGAGTAAGAGTCATCCTGTAGTAAAAGTGGCAGGCACTTTTTACCACACTCTTTTGTACATGTACCCAGTGAGGATGCCTTTAGAAATAATGGCAAGGGTGGATGCTGGGTTAGCTGGACGCAAACCAAGCAACTTTGCTCTTCTAAAGGCTTGACCTCTATTGGATTGCTTGGATGGCTCATTTATCCTAACTGGACCAAGCCATTGAACCAATAAGACTCCCTGTGGCTACCTGACTGACTGCTGACTGGTCTAATCTACCAATTATCTCCCCACAATTCGGTTTAGATACCCATATCCAGCCATATACCCATCCATATACCCATCCATATACCCATCTTAAGAACGAGGCTTAAGCAAGCTTAACAAGCACTACAAGTCAGATAAAGCCAAGATAAAGCCAAGATGATGACCAGGATACCCTCTCTATCGCTATCAGCGCTCTTACTGCTACCATTATCAAGTGTGGTGATGGGAGGAGAGACGGTTGTGGACAAGGTCGCCCTTGGCTCGAACTTGGCAGCCGAGGACAATCCGATAACGAGACCGATGACTTTGTCTGAGAAGATCAAGCTGCAAAAGAGCTACGCCTCTGAACCTACTTTTCCTGGTATGGGCATTGACGATCGAGTGGTGGGAGGAAGTCCAGTAACGTCTCAATCGGAATATCCGTTTTTTGTGGAATGGGAATCTGCCGCGTGCGGCGCCTCGTTGATTCACGACGATATTGCACTCAGTGCGGCTCATTGTGAATCAAGGACGAATCCCTTTTCCACACGTGTCTTTATCAATGGACTTACGTCGGCTGGAGGAGTCTTTCGAAACGTCGCTCAGCAATTGTCGCATCCGCTTTACAACGGCGACGACAAGGATTACGATTTCATGATTCTCAAGCTAGATTCGTCGGGACTGGTCAACCCCGACGGAAGTTCTACAGGAGCCTCGCTGGTCACGATCAATGAGGATTCCGATAATCCGCAACCGGGAGATCCGCTCATGGCCGTAGGATTTGGATTGACTGAAGAGGGAAATCAACAAACCAGTTCCGTTCTCAACGATGTCGAGGTCTTGTATGTCGATGATGATCAGTGTATGTCACAGTACGGAAGTGGCACGTACGTACCCGATCTCATGTTCTGTGCAGGAGTCAGTGGAGGTGGAAAGGATACTTGTCAGGTAAGACAGACATATACATGTACATGTGCATGTACAACCATACCTACCTATCCTTATCTTACCCATCATTACTAATCATTGAATGGACAGGGAGACAGTGGCGGTCCCATTCTCGATGCCAACGACAAGCAAGTGGGAGTCGTATCCTTTGGAATTGGATGTGCCAGAGCCACACACAATGGAGTATACGCTCGGGTCTCGGCCGTATCGGAGTGGATTCAAGACATGGTATGCCAACTCAGTGACGATCCACCGGCTGGGTGTAAGAATAAACCCGCTCAAAATGGGAATGGAGACGTTACCATTACCATGAACTACGATAGTTATCCCAAGGAAACTGGAATCGTATTTGTCATGGAAGCTCCGGAACCCGCCAAGGGACTTGATGATGGGGTCGACCAGGTACTATTCTTTCAGCCATACCAACACAGCAACGCAAACAACATGGAAGTCAAAGAATTCAACTTTCCAAACCTCAAAAAGGGAGACTACAGGTTGCTCGTCGGGGATCAAGGAAGAGATGGAAATTGGTAAGTACCTGTACAGACGGTACAACACCAGTCGAGACATTGCTTTGTTTGAAACCTGGTCTAATCAACGTTTCGTTTGCTTGCTTCTTTGCTTTCCTTCAGCTGCGCCTACGGACAAGGCAGCTTTAGTATCACGGACAATAATAACAACGTCGTCGTACACACCAACGATGGACAGTTTGGAGAATTCGTTCAAGTCAATATCAACGTCGCGCCCAATGGAGATGTCACGTTTATCAGTGAGACCGCCAACTACGACAATAGTTGGGAAGGTGCCGACGCCATTCCCAATTATCCACAAGCCGTCGATCAGGCATGGCCCGGACCCGTACCACTCCAACTCGGAGGACTCAACATTAATATCAAATTCGATCGATACCCCGCAGAGAATACCTGGACATTTGCGAAACGAAACGGTAATTCCGCCAATTTCAACGTCATCGAATCGTTCGATGGAGCCACCTTGGGAAAGAGCAACGATATGGTCAGTACTCAACTGGGAACTATAGACGAAGGATGGTACCGGCTGGTCATTGAAGACGTGGGCGCTGATGGATTCTGCTGCAACTTTCGAAGAGGGTGGGCTTCGATCACTGGATACATACTGTCGACCCGCAAGTCGGGGCTCGTCTGGGGAACCAACGGTGAAATTGGTTCCAGCATCACGGTGTATTTGGAAATGAATGCGGAGGGATACATCAAAAAGATCACGGACGATCTCAGTACTATCTAATTTGAAAAAGAGAAGGCAAGACAGACAAGACAGGCAACAACTAACTGTCCAGCATGGCAACACTAGCTGTCGGAGGCCGTTTGTCCTCCTCCATGTTCGTAGATCCCTTCCCCATCCAACCATCCAACCAACCAATATGCATGCAGCATGAATGGCAACCACAACAACAAGTGACACCGGAATGACAGTGTATGCCATCCCGCAACGACTAGCAAGTCACAAGAACGAAAGACTAGACAAACACAACTAAGTACATACACACACTTTTATTAGGCAAGCGCTTGATTAGCGATTGAATTGTGAGGTTTTAGGGTTGTCACTATAGCTAGCAATTCAAAAAGTGAGCCGAACGAATGGCTCACCAAGCAATCCAGCAACTAGCTATGCATAGCTGTCAGACAGGCCGATGGGTAGCTCACGGGCACTGGGCTGCCTCGGGGTAAATCCCAAACACTTCCAGGCCAAGCAATCACAGCTTGAAGTGAACTTAGAGGCAACAGGTGGAGGCTTAGCCTGCATGCAAAGACTTTGGCACGGCTAGCCATGAGTTCCATGCATGCACTCTAAGAGGGTTATGCCTAGAGGCTTGACAAAAGTGCCCACAGGGGTATTCATTCTACATGTATAGCTTTCGGTATCTAGCTAGATCAGCACATCTATTATTGATAGTGTCAGTACTACTACATGTATGGTGTCATTACTGGTACCACACAGATTCGATTCTGCAACGGCCATATTTTGGCGCATGCTGTTTGTGACAAGAGACTTCTTTCTAGCGTCTTGTGCGTTGTTGACTGCCTCCAAGTGGCATGGATCCTGTAAGTCACCTCACCTCTAATCCCCCTTCTGCCAATCCAGCCAGGCATGGTCGTCCAGTCCAGTCCAGTCCAACCAACAATCAATCAAGCTAGCTAGCTAGCTAGCTAGCTGCCTAACCGAGGATCATTGCTGTGGCAACTCGTCGAGGCTGCGAGGAATGCTGACTGTCACTCAATGGACTACTCGGTCTCTGCTCCATGCAGTCTCTTTCTTGACAACAGTAAGGAACCTCCCGCACGATGCGATCGCCATTGTGATTGGTGTACACGATCACATGCATTTGACCCAAACTCTCGTCTCGCGTCTTCTTGGTGCTGCCCTGGATTGTCTCCCGCTCAATCTCCACAGTCTCCTTGAATTCCGTGCTGCGGCGTTCCACTCTCATTGTCTTAGTAGTAGAGCTCTAGCTAGTAGACTTGTTTTTGGTTCTTGGGTTCTTTGTTTTGTGAGGATGATGGTTGATGGATGATGGATGCATCAGTTGAATGAGTTGCGTTGCCGGAAGAGGTCCAAAGGAAACGAAGACTTGCCAAGTGGAATGTACCAGTTGAAAGAGAACGCTCTTGCGCGAATGCGTTTTGCGAACAGTTCCGATAACTAGAGAATGAGGTAAATATTTGAATTAATTATCATATTAATACCTTCACTTCCAGCCATTCTTATCAATCCCTGGCGTCTGCTGATGTTGCCCTTCGCAGAGAAGGCAACCGCGGAACAAGGCTACCGTATCGGGCCTCATGAATAGAATAGAATCTGTTGTATGCTGCTTTGCTACGGTGCCGAACAGCGGACTGGACCCAGTGGCCACATACTAGCTAGTACATGCAGCCACCGGCGGTTAGAGTTGCTGTGCTTCAGTTGACACACCATCCAGGCAACAGTTGGGTAGCTAGTAGGGTTTTGCTTCCCACCGGTACATCCATATTTGGTGCTAGCTAGCTAGTTGTAAGCTGCAGGATACAACAACCCGCCCGGTACAATATTGACTGATGTTGGATGCTGGTGCGATGCTGTAAGCGTTGGCTGGAATTGCAGTACATGTACAGAAGCCTTACCCGTAGGCATTAGATAATTCTCCGCTGGAAACAGGTTAGAAGAGCCAGCAATGGAGCAATCCATGCTGCATCCCCAACGGCCGGGCAAGAGGCTCCTCTTTCGGGAAGAGGTAAACCTAGTATGCAACAGGAGCAGCAACTAGAACCGGTAGTATATCCAACTATGAAGCTACTTCAAGATTGAATCGAATCGAATCATTGCGTGTTCCGCATCTTCCAATCCCTTGCATGAGCGATGAGCTCATGATGTATAGTTAGTCAGTCGTCACCATGTTGGTGGAGTGGTCGTGTTGGGCTTTTGAGAATGAATCCATTGCGCTCCTGAGGTGCAGATTGCAGCCACCGAAAAGCTCTAGAATTCGGCATCAACGTCATCAACCCAACCTAGCTAGCTACCGTAGCTAGAGGCTTGCCTAATCTTTCTCAGCCTTGTGGACTATTTCTGATAGCTCTAGTATCCTCCATGAGAGAGGGCTACTAGCTAGTAGGACAACTTTCAGCAAACCGAAATTAACAATCAAAGTGTGACTCGACTCACCTAGTCCTTCAAAAAGCACGTTTTACTTCAATGAAAGATTTAATTAAACAAAAGATAATGAATGAAACACACTTCCATTTGGGCAGTCGATCGACTCCCGCAATGGTTGGCAGCTCAACCAAACGCCTTCGTTAGGAAGTATAATTGCTCTGTCCTTTGCCCCATTAAAACGAGACAAGAAAGAAGCTTCTCTTTCCTCTCTTTTCATGAAGTGGCCAAGCTTTGCTAACCCCTTTGAGGGAGTGCTGGAGCAGTTTTGGCTCGGGTGTCGTTCAAATCCTACGGAAGCAGGCATGCGGCAGGAGAGATCTCTTCAGCCCCAAACCTCCATTCTTCTCAAAGAGATAGAGAGATCTCATAATTTCGAATCGGCTCCGGTTGAACGTCCCTGTCTACGGTAGCAAACTGCAACAAAAGGAACAACTATCGTGAGTAGGATCCTCCACCATGGCGCTAGTAATATGCCGTTGTTTGATTTGATTCGTCGTCGCACGGTGTTCCCTCCTTTACCATTCAATCAACTTACTACTTGCTTTCTTTCTCTACTTTGCCAAGATGAAGCTTGCTACCAGCACAGCCGGTATTGGTACCAACCAGGGCTTCTCAGTTTTGCAGCTGATGCTCGACACGATACGCTTCGGTATCTGCCTTGTCTGTTTGCAAGCTTCTTTCATCTATCTCTTTGATGTCATCACTGCTTGCAGCGGTACCACTACTACTGCTACTGAGAACGAAACGTGCAAGGCTTACATTGTGGATATTGTCAAGATCTTTGTTGGAACAGCGCTGTTGTTGATTCTTGCCCAGGCGAACAACAAGAAGTCTGATGCCACCGCCGACTGGGACGCCAGGGTCAATGGACCAGCTCCCAAGACCCATGCCGACTTGGAGGCCCTCGACGCCAAGATTGATGCACTCGATGCGAAGGTAGAGACCTGCGCTGCCTTTGCCGTCGGCATCAAGGACATGTCTGACATGATTGACTTTGTCGCCCCCAAAATGCTCTTGGGAATCTGGCTCTTCTTTGTCCGGCCTTCTTGCATCCATCTGTTGGAGGTCGTCACGACTTGCACGACCGGTACTGACACGTCCGAGAACGGAGAGTGGTGCGAGCCTTCCATTGCAGATGCCGTCCATATTGTCCTTATCGTCGTTGTCACATTGATCGTGCTGGTTTTCACCACGCACAAGGTCGACATCTCTGATGCTACAGATCCCAAGGATTCTGCTACCCACGTCAAGGCCGATCTGGACGTCATAATGTTCGAGGAACTACTTGCTGCCAAGAGCAACTCCTTGTTTGCTACCAAAGCCGACTTGGACGCAACCAATGCCAAGGTCGACGACGTCCAACTTCAAGTTCATGCTATCATCAACATTGAATTGGAAGACTGCCATCATGCGATCGACGAGTTTTTTACCCAGACTGACCTGGAAGCTTTGAAGACCAAGAGTCCCGCTGTCTCCCACGCCTCTGAGGATCGTGCCGGTACTGGTATTGACCAGAATCGCGGCGCTCGTACTGGAAATAGCAAGAAGACCGTGACTTTTTTCGAACCAGCCAACGAGAATCCTCCCCCCTCTCAATCCCCCGAGGTCTCTGCTTCCACCAAGAAGAATCCTGCTAAGAAACCCCGCATCATGAAGCAGACTCCGGGCGTCCTGATTCCTAGCCCGTGCCGCATCAGCAACGAGGAAAAGAAAGACGACACCACGACGTATGGTTTCGGTGGCGATGATGACTGCGACTTATTCGGCTACAACTCCGGCGCTTCGGAAATCTTTTCGGAAGATTACGGCAATTTTGAAGCAGGCTATTTCGATTGAACTAACGAGCGGACGAGGAAGAATCGAAGGGAGAGGAGGATGGCCATCGACATGGCAAGCAAATCTAGAACTAATAAAAGAGCAGTAACCGAGTAACACTACCGTAACCAAAAGAACAACCGAGGCAGTTGATCGCACGGTAGGTACCAGATGCCCCGTGCACACGACCAGAGGCTCTGCTTCATGGCATCGCCGCGAAGGAGCCCCCTTGGCTGCTGTTGACAGGCGGATCGCGGCCTAAAGACCAGGCTGATGCCATACGGTAGTATTGTATTGACACAGCTGTTTACTACCAGGTACGGTGCCTCTATCGTGTGCTGCAATGCATTCTCACGTCGCAATCCCGTGCCACCCTTGCAAGCAACTTAGACTACTTGTCCAGAAAGATCAAATCCTGATGCACTGTTTGTCGGCTGTTGGCTTCCACTGTTTCGTCCGTGGCAATTTGGGACAACTTTCTCGTCTTTCTTCCTTGGACCACCACTGGTGCAAAGAAAGGAAGGCTTGGAGGAGGAGGAGTTCTTTTGCTCATCGAGACTCAACTCAACATGAGAAGTTGCCAAGACGGCGATGTTCTCGATAAGGTCACTGCGAGAAAGAATAGTCGTCATATCTGAAAAAGCCATGTGCTCAGGATGGTACAGTATTCCTCTGTAGAGATTCAAAGGGCTCCACGAACTCGGAGGTCTTGCCTCAGCCAAAGAGCCAACCGAGGTGACGCAGTCTTTTGCAACCTCCCTCGAAAAATGAATGTGGTTTGAGCGCACCTCTGCTGGCGTTGGGCCGGCAACGGCCAAGAGTGTTAAATGAATTGAATGCTGTTTTTACAAGTTCTTCTGAGTTCAGTCTTTGCTTCTGAGACTTGGATAGTTCTGGTATTATTTCTACGGTAAGCTGAGTTAGCTAGGAAGCGAAAGAATTCTTTGAAGGTTCCAAGATTTAGCCAGTGGCCTAAGTAAAGCACAGCGAGTGTCTTCGCCTTTATTGGCCAATCTGGAAAAGATACGTCTCAACCGAAAAATGAGATGTCGTGCTTTTCATACTGCGATGTGCCAGCTACAGCGTGCGTACAGTACAGCACCCAACCCCGACCGCAACAAGCAACAATCGGAACCCGCTTTTTTTACAAGCTAAAAATTGCAACCGAAAGCAACCAAGGAGTGCTAGCTAGTAGTTGCCCACAATCCCAAAGCACCCCCGCTTCTATGGCTACACCCACCACACCAAGCCCAAGTCACCTGATGATTGTTGTTTCTAGGTTCGTTATCTTATGCCTGAGTCTACTAGTATGGCTGCCACTGGCGCTCAGTGGACCTACCGGTAATAGCATAGAAACCCATTCGTGGTTACGAGGAACGGCGGAACAGCGTGCATTGGGCGTGGATCCTCGTATAGTGGGAGGAAGTCGTGTGATGGAACCGTATCCGTTTTTCGTGGAATGGCGAGGACGATGTGGAGGAAGTTTGATTCACGAAGACATCATGCTATCGGCGGCTCATTGCAACGGTCGTGACGAAAGTCTTGGTGATCCGTTTTCCCGCAGAGTCTACCTGGGAGGTCGTAGACGAGGCACAGGAGTGGCCAGGAACATGGCCAAACGAATTCCTCATCCTCGATGGGATGATTCTCTTAGAAGCAATATTGAATGGGATTTCCTCGTGGTCAAGCTTAACCAAACTACCAAAGGGGTAGAAGGCCTTATACCCATTCCCCTCAATGATCAGAACGATTATCCAGTGGGAGGAGAAACCCTTACGGCCATTGGATACGGAAGACTCACCAGCGGAGGCAGAGAGCTTCCTGATATGCTAAGGCATGTCGAGATCGCGGCATTCAGCAATGAACGGTGTGGAACATACTATGGGGATACTGGAGTTACGTTCCAACAAGAAAGTATGCTCTGTGCAGGAGTTGATGGTGGTGGTAGAGGACTTGTCAAGGTACCCTGCATTACAAACTCAAACTGTACAAGCTTTCATTTTTGACTTACCATGGTCCAACTTCGTGCTATATTCTTGCTATTCAAAGGTGACAGCGGTGGCCCTATCATTGATCAAAATGGAGTCCAGCTCGGTGTCACAAGCTGGGGAGAAGGTGCGTGCTGCAAAAAATGGTTCACCAGAATTGTTTTTGGTGGAAGTTTGCTCATCTTTTTTGCTTTCTAAAGGTTGCGGTGCCAACATGTATCCCGGTGTGTATGCTCGAGTCAGTTCTGCCAAGGAGTGGATGAGACAAATTGTCGTTGGAGTTGTGTCCGCCCGAATCTTGTGACCCCGCCATTATCAATGATTGGCCAAAGACAATATCGACGGAAGAGTCAACCTCACGCTTCGAGTCATCCACGATGCCTACCCGGCGGAAACTGGATTGATCTTGGATCACCTCGAAACCGCCACTGAATATCTATTTCAAGATTATGGAGAGCAACCGCCAGGGCCAGTCGAACGGTCAATAACCCCGTCATTGTGAAATTCAATGTTACCAACGGACGGAATGGAACCTACCACTTTACCATTGCTGACAGTGCACGAGATGGAATTTGTTGCGAACACGGACAGGGAAATGTCACAATCTTCAATACGGATACGGGAGATGTCCTGTTCTTCAATGACAATGTCACGGAAAAATTTCAATTCTGGTTTACAGTGGACAATGTGGGCACCGTACTCTCTACTCGAATCAAAGAGGGAGCCGATGTCGAGGATGAAGACAACGACATGGGAGAAGGAGTTGGAATTGGCGGAGACAAAATATGGGCCCGATGCTGGGGCGACTAGATCCCGAAGAGTACGATGACGTGTGGCCGGTTCTTACCCTGCCGCCGATGCTACCAACGAACTACACATCAACCTTCGATTCGACGACTATCCCAAAGAGACCGAGTAAGTAGTATCGAAATCGATTCGATTGAATCATTCGGTTCGATTCGATTCGATTCGATTCGTGGAGCCCGCTCAAACAAGATTATTCTTACAAATGTTTCTTTCTTTCTTGCTCGACTCGACAGCTGGTTCTTTGAACAGTTTACGGGTAGTGGCAACTTGGCAGTGAGTCGAAGCAATACCAATTCCAGCAATGGCCGTTGGGTGGAGATTGATTCCAAGAATACTTCCGTTCGCCTTGATAGAAGAACCTTTATGAGTATTCCACAATCCAATTTGGAAAACAGAACACTCTACAGATTCAGGATCACAGATTTGACGTACGACCTTGGCGGTGACGGAATGTGCTGTGTGGTGAGTTCGTTAGTTAGTTAGTTATGGATTGGGGGCTTGATGTATGTGTGAGACTCGCTCCTCCTCACGCTGTTTCCTGCGGCTCTAGTTTGGATACGGCTGGGTGACGTTGACAAACGGAACTCGGACGGAGAGCAGCCCCGATGGAACTGTCATCTGGAGTCTGCTGGGGAACGAATTTACCACAGAGGCGGAAGTCTACATCTGGATAAACGGCAACGGTCAAACAGAGGTTGTCGCGATTGACAAAGACGGAGGACTTCGACCAGACATCCCAGGCAATCCCGTCCCTGGATTGTCACCAGACCCAGGAGACGGCAGCGACAACGCTGATTTTCTGTTGCCGATACTGGAAAACGGCAACGATGCCGGCAACGCCGACAATTCTCCGCCCACGAACTCCGAACCCGGCAACGGCGGCTTTTTGGAAATTCCTGTTGTGGGGGGCGGGGATGACAATGCCAAGGGGCAAAGCGACCGGGACCCTCTGATAGTGCAAGGGGAGTTCCCATAGAGGCTGCTTATTCGTGCTCCTATCCTTGGCGCTTGGTGAAGCTGTCGTGAGTCGTGAAGATCCGGTTTCTTGGCCGGACTCGGCTCATCGTGGCCCCGGATGAGTGCGACAACGCTGTACATGTAGGAATTTTCATTCTGGCCTGTATAATATTCATGCTGCCTTACGTGTACTACATGTACAAGCAATTGGTTTCGTAGCTATGTTCCGATTATTTTGTCTGTGCGAGAGGTGGCGCCCTTCCGAGTTGCCTTGTTGGCTTCCACCCGAGCGAAGGACACAAAACAAAAAGCCACCAGGATCCAAATACTCACGAGCTATTCCTCCGTTGACGATGCCTCGGAGCAATGCCGTAGCCCAGCTTGGAAAGACACGGCTTGTTGGAGCTGGGCAAAGGTGTACTACTAACTGGCTTCTTCGATGGGGAGGTGCTGGTAGTAGCTCTTTGTTCCCTTTGATCTTCCCTGGGCTCTTGGGGGCCACCTCGAGTTACATTGGATATACAGGATCCCATCGCAAACGCCCCTGCTGGCTAGCGGTACCAGTAGCTAGCAAGTAAGTTGCTTTCCCGAGGTGATCTGTGCCTCGCTACACTGTAGTAGCTCGGTACCACGGTCTTTGCATCCTGGCAGGTATGGTGGCACGGACTGTCTGTAAGTAACCCTAACCCGAAACGCTGCAGGTGTGGCAGATCTCTCCAGCTATCATAGTCTAGCTCTGCCCATCCATCCATCCATCCACACGAGCTAAGTTCTACTAGTACCTCGTGCATTCCGGTAGCATGGCGTTGTGAAGAGGCGTTGTGGCTGGGGTCATCAGCCCCTGGCAATTGTTGAGGCTTCCGAACTTCCTCCCCTGGTTTTGCTTTGACTGCAAGGCTTGCAGTGCAACTTCTGCCTATTGATAAGCTCTTCCAACGGGCCAAGAAGGGTGGATTCAACTCACCTGGCAAGTTGCCAAGGGCCCGGTGCGGCCACTAGCAAGCTAGCTGGAGCTTGCTATCTATCTGGCTTCGTTTGACGTGCGGTCAGTAACTGTGGCTGACGGCAACTAACAGTGCGTGGTACCACCGTACCACCACCTCCACAAACACACGCACACGTCGACATTCTCGAAACTCGCGACTGGACTACACGCCCACTACCGGTACTACTAGCTAGCTAGCTACACCGTACACCGTACTCGATCCTCGATCTAGCTAGTGCAGTGCCACTACCGGTACGAGGTAGCTAGACACTAGATACTAGATAGATGAGGGTCTTGTAAGAAGTCCATCTGGCTGCACCAAAAGGTATCATAGCCCTGAGTCGAGTCTGACAGCATTAGTATCGAATCAATCGAATCCAATTCAGCCCTGTGGACTCTGGAGTCTATTATTAATAGAATGAAGAACACAAAAGGTCCAGCAGAAGCATGAAGCATGAAAGGGAAAGCAAACTGCTACTCGCCTTTAATCCTTTAATGCTGCCGCAACGGAAGAGGGAGGTTCACCTCCTCAGTTTCCAAACCAAACTATCTGCTCGCACTTTGATTCCCGTTGCTTTGGGTGGTGGACCTGTTGCCCGTGAGGTGCTCCTTTACGATAGACGATAGTTTCACCGTACCGGTACATTGTAGCGTACGTTGTATGTTGTACATGTACATGTATGCGTGTAAGCAGTAAGCAGGAGCGGATGAGCGGTTGCAGAATCTGTTGAGGGTGGTGGTTCACAGCTCACAGGATCCCAGTGAACCCGTGCTTCTTCCCCCAGCATCCACGGGACACCATGAAAAGCGTGTTGAATTATAAGGGACCATGCCCCATTGTCGCAAAGGGGGTCTTGGTTGGTCACAGAGAGTGTCATTGGTAGTCACTGGTCAACTTGGAATAATTTTGGCTTATGAAACTGTGACTCTTGACGAACCCAAATTGAGTTCTAGCATCCGAAATGAAAGATCTTTACTTTCAGTATCGAAGCTCGTACTATCATTTGTATTGAATGACTTATGATCCAAGAACGACTTTCATCAATGATTTAATTCTTTGGTCACCTCCTCCCCAAGCAGACACATTGAGCCGAAACCACTCAGCTACGAGCACTAAAGAGTATGGTGTGCGTGTCCGGATAGCCCCATACTACAGTACTGTACTCGAGTAGTAGCTAGACTGCCGGTAGAAACTCAGGTCGACTTGATCACAGTTCCCTATTTCAATCTTCCGGCCCTTGATCGTAGCTCTACAGCAGCAACCGCTTCCGTAACGTCCGAGCAGTGATCAACGTTTATTCGCTGTGGGATGTTGGTGGGTGCTGGGATATTTGGAAGACTGCTTGCATTGGTGTGCGTGTGGGGTACGGTGGGGTATCCGAAGTGAAGATCACCTCTATGCCAAATCTTTTGCTCACAATTCTGAATCTATCTAGCTAGCTAGAAGAAACACCGGTAGCTCAATTCCTGAAAAGCATCCTTCTAAACTCCTTCGCCAAGAATCTCATCCTCCCCAACATCATGTTCATGAACGATTCTTACGCATACGCAGCTTCTGGAGACCATCTTTCCACCATGGACGACGCTTCCTATCACTTACCCGGCCTTGACAGCAGCGAAACTTCTCACTCCTCCCGCCGGCGCCGCAGCAGCAGTATCCTCAAGACTCAGACTCTGGAGGAATCCTTGAGCAGCATGGGCCTGAACAACAACGAAGTCAGTCGCCGGCGCAAGAGCAGCGTCAGCTTTGATATCGTACAAGTCCGAGAGCACTCCATGATGCTGGATGATTCTCGACAAGGCTTGTCTCTGACCATGGAGTGGAAGTGCTGCCACGAAGATGTCATGACAGTCCAAGAATTCGATTGCTGCCGCAAGTCCAGCAGTGACAAGAAAGATGGTGGCGTTCGCTACCTAACTCCCATGGAACGCATGACCATACTCATTGAAGCCGGATATGCCGTCGGCGACTTGTGCGATCACATTGTGGCCGAAGAAAAGCAGGGCAAGACGGTACATCCCTGTCACTACAATAGTGCTAACAGCAGCAGAAGGCACAGACATGGGGCCAAGGTATCCTCTGCTGTAAGCGCAAAGTCAGAACAAGATCCACAGCAATGTAGTAGCATCTACTCCAGAGTCAGAAAAGCTGCCAAGGGCTTTCGAACTGTCAGAGCAACTTGCTAGCTAGCAAGTGCTAGTCAGCTACTAGCTACCCCTGCGCCTCCATCTAAACGCGTAAACTATTTTATTTTATCAAAGATTACTCTCTAGCTAGTCTAGTTTAGATAGTGGATTTGCATTGGTGGCTTGCAAAAAAGGACACAGATATCATGAGAAACCAGGCAGGCAATAGATCTGTGAACAGTCGGTTGGAGAAGGGGAAATCTCCATTGAGCTGAAGCAAGCCACGTCACACGGAGTACTGTGCATAGTCGCCAGCAGAAGTGAAAGCCCTTGATGGAAGGTTGGTTTGTTGGATCTGTCTCTGGAAGTACAGAAACATGGACCGGCTCAACGAGCCTATTACTCTTCCTATCATCATTAATTTTAGTAAGCTGCCTCGGGAAGCAACGTCCCAGAAGCAAGTTTCTTCTTGCCTGCAAGTTCCAAACCATTACTTCACAACCAAAGAGAGGCAGCCCATTCACGTGCCACCGTATGTTTGTTGTCAGACTCCCTTCGAAGCAACCTCAAGAGTGGGCATGCAATGCAAGCAAGCAAGCAGAGCAAAGAAGAAAGAATAATTTGAAGTACATGTACATGTACACCGATGATTGGAGCCATCTCACGGATGAGCACATAAACCTTGGTGGGAGTCAACAGAGAAGACGCACCTGGCTGTTGCTTCACCTCTCTTAGTAACTTCATTGGCTTCCAATTCGAAAAATAAATGTGACCGCGGCCGGTCATCTTTTGGTCATTTGGTCACTGACTGGTCGAATGGCTGTAGATTATCTAATTTGAGACTCGGAGTATAGCCACATGGTACAGTACTGTTTGAGTATGGTCATATTTCCCTGGAATAGAAAGACTTATGGAAGAATTCGGGATTCAAAGGTTTTGCCATGTTCTTATGTTCTTCTTTTGTTGCTCGGGTGGATTTGAATGGATGATGCATGGAATTACCGTTGTTGTTGGAGGCATAGCGAAAGAAGGAATGTACCGGTTAGCCATTGTTGGCGGGTTGGTTGCTTATTCCTGCGGGCTTGTCGCCAAAGTCAGAGCCGTCTTGTGTCTTCCACTCAACTCTCATCATACTCTTGCATTTCAGTTGGCCGGTTAGAATGCTTCTTGGGGAACACTGTTGACGTAAGTGCAATCATTAGCATTAGCATTAGCATTAGCATTAGCATTAGCATTACGGTCAGGCTTATTAGATCTCATTATTCCAGTCAGCTAACAGAGTACCCTCATCAATTGGTACGATTGATAGGTGCGGGATCTTACCTTACCTTACCAGCTAGCTACTGAGGATCTTGCTAAAGCTCAGCTACCCATTGGTTGACCGCATTAACCTCGGTATACCCACACATTATACCTGTATACCCAAATATACCCATACAGGCAGAAGCTCATTTTTTGTCCAGCCTGGCCATTCAAGTTTTACTTGCCATTTACTTCAAGAAGAGAAGAGAGAGACAATGACAATGATGAACCAACAGCAACAACTTGAAGAAGAAATCAAGAGTGAGCCTCAAGCTCAAGAAACTGAAGCTGGTCACCCAAGAAGACTCTCCAAGCCACCCCTTTCCCACCAGCACCAGTATACTACTACCTCTACTACAAGTATACCCCATTGGAGTCTGATGTACATGCTTCTGATAGGTCTGATAAGTCTGATTCAAGTGTCTTTTGCAGCAGATGCTACCACCACCAATTCTACCAATTCTGCCATCCCAAAAAGGCGTGGGACTCTAGCTGACACTAGAATTGTGGGAGGAGATCTAGTTGACAATGCCTTCAAATACCCATTCTTCATGGAATGGGAAGATGCAAAGTGTGGAGCTTCCCTGATTCATGATGACAGTAAGTGCTTTACCTACTGTCAAGTCAATGGAAGATACTTCACTTCATCTAATTATCTCACTTTTTTCTTTCCTTTTTCTTCCTGTCACTGCTTCAATACACTATACACGACAATCCATCTTTCCATCCATCTATTATCTATTCAGTCGCACTCTCGGCAGCTCACTGTGAAAGTGACGTGCATCCCTTTGCCATGCGATTGTTCATGCTCAATACACAAACCGAAACGGGATTGTTCCGAACCATTGAACGACAAGTTGCACATCCACTCTATCAAGGAGACAAACAAGATTACGATTTTATGATCATCAAACTACACACATCGGCACTTGTGGACGAACAAGGACAACTCACCGGGGCTGCCACGGTCGATATTAACCGAGATCCCAACATTCCCGCCGTCGGAGATCCACTCACTGCCATGGGATATGGAAGAACCGACCAAGATGCACCCGACACATCCGATGAATTCAGAGAAGTCGAAATTTATTACATTAGTGATGACACGTGTCTCGAACAATACGGTGTTGGTGATTTTGTACAAGAACTCATGTTTTGTGCCGGAGTGCCTGGAGGAGGAAGAGATACCTGTCAGGGCGATAGTGGAGGTCCCATTATTCATCAAGCCACGGGCACACAAGTAGGAGCCGTCAGTTTTGGAGCTGGTTGCGCTCAGGCAGAGTATGCTGGTGTAAATTCACGCATTTCTGCCGTCTCGGAATGGATCGATGAAATGGTCTGTGAACTCAGTGACAATCCTCCCGCAACGTGTGCCGACAGAAATGGCAATAACAACAATCTGCCTGCTGGGCCAGGACAACTGTCCGTCACCATTACACACGATGATTACCCAGAGGAAACGGCATGGGCATTCACATACCTTGGACCCCTTCCCAATCCTGGCACGCTAGTGGCGGGAGACGTGGGTGCGACCAATGTCAATCCCATTGGATCACCCAATGGATACGACAATCAAGTACAAATACACGCAGAACCCTTTCGACGACAAAACAGTGTGGGGGATCGAGAGGTCGTTACAAAATCATTTACCAATCTACCGTTGGGCAGATACTCGGTGCAATTTGGGGATGCTGCCGGTGATGGTATTTGCTGCTCCTACGGAAATGGAAAGTTGGAAGTGACAAATGACAAAGCAGGGACAACAGTCTGGGAAAACAATGGCCAATTTGGTATCTACATTGAAGTCATTCTAGATATTGGTCCTGGTGGCAGTGTCACGCAAGTGGAGGAAGATACAGAATACGACAATAGTTGGGAAGCATTCAATGCCGTCAACCATCCGCCCACGTTTGATCAAGAGTGGCCGGGAGCCATGCCAGCAGGCGATCGCAACGCCATCATGGTCAACCTCAAATTTGATTCGTATCCGGAAGAGACTTCGTGGACGCTGTATTCCGAAATTGCGGGAAGTTGGAATCCACTGCGAATCCTCTCGGGGAGCCAAGAAGGCGTGGCTGCTGACCTGGTGTCGGTCGAAGTGGACAATCTGAGTGCTGGATGGTATCGATTTACCACTGCCGATCGAGGTGCGGATGGGATTTGCTGTCTGCATCGACGGGGGTGGGTGAGTTTGACAGGTGGCATCATCACGACTCGCGAACGTGGCTTGGTCTGGGGGAACAATGGGGAGTTTGGACCACAAATTGATGTCTATTTCAATATTGACAGCGAGGGATTTATCAGTCAAGTGAGTTATGCAGATCCCCTGACAGCAACCACTCGATCGTCTCTTCGACGGCGACAGGACAACGACAATGGAGGTCGGCAGCGGCATTTAAAGGCGTCGTCCTTTACCGATCTTCCAATACAACAACTCCACAAGTCACAAACAGATCGCTGAACTGTTTGATTGGGGGAACATCAGCTTGGGAGCTAACCAGCCAGCCGGAAGATTGCGGCGACAGCGAATCACGATTGCCTTGTGGTTAGTGCTACTGAATAACCATTGTCATATTAGCTAACATAAATAAATAGAACACCACAGCCATAGACATTCAGATACAAGCTCTATTGAAGAGGACCTTGATTTCTTGATCAACGTTACCTCATGAGTATTAGAGGGGCCACCATCACGGGAAAGGGTTGACAAATGTGTTGCTTCACTCAACTACAGAGGTACCGGTACAAGTACTAGTAGAGGACTCCACGGCACCATAGCCTGCACTTCGGTTGGAGCCATTGAGTTTCACGTATCCAGAGCTGCGCTTCTTGTGCTGGTAATGGATGACCAGGCCAACAATCACAACACAGCCAATCACACCAAGTAGAACGACCAATGGAGCCGAAAAGATACTGGCCAAAGCTCCAGGAGAGCCACTCCCACCGGGCGGTACCTGCAACGGACGCTGCTGCAAGACGCGCAGTTCTGCTTCCACTACGAAAGTCGGAAAAATCAGCAACTATGTCAAGCATGTCAGCTACCCGCTTCAGAGCACAGATGGTGAAGAAATCAAATATGAGCTCCAGATCGGTTTTCGTGATTCGACGGGGCATTTCCACGATGCGCTGGGTGTCGCTCGAGGACGAAAAGAAACCGATATCGAAGCTGTCCACATCATGCACCACCCTCAGCCTTGGGGCTGTAGCGAAGTCTGCTTTTATATCGATGATGAACCAATCCGTCTCTGAGGTAATCCGGTCGCGGCGAAAGAGGACAGTTTTGTAGACCAAGGCACCACCGTCTTCGCTTGTGAACATCACATTGAAAGCAACCCAATCGTCCCTTTGAACATAGTCAAAAAGATCAAGTCTCCTCTTGGGGACGCCAAGGTCTTGCGCAAGGTACCTCTTGAAGGTTTCGTAGTAGCTAGGATCCATGCCTTCGATTCTTTCAATCTCGGCACTCTGTGCAAGCCGTTAGAGACCTTCGTTTGTGAGCTCTCCCACGATTTCGCTCTTGTGACTTTCAGAAATCTTCGTAGCTACACCATCGAATTTCCCGGACAAAACTTGCAGGACAGATCTTAGTTGGTCAGTACCGTCACCACTATCGCCTTTGTCACCAGCGTCACCAGCGTCGCCTCCATTGTCACCGGCGCCTGTCGCGGACATGCCAACCAAAGGCAGCTCTCTTGCTTCGTAGGAATAATGGCGGCTCTCATCGTTGACGAGCTCACCAAAATGCTGAAAAGCAATAGCATCAAAGAACGTAAATACTGCATTGATGTCCTCATCAGTGATGAATCGCGGGACCTCTTGGTAGTCTTCATAAGTGTGCGACCACCAGAGTTTGTGTTCTGTGCGGCGAAGAATCAAGAGGTCAGGAGCAAGCTCGAATGTTGGCTACGACCCAGTCAACAGTTTTGGTTTCAGTATTATGATTGGCAAGCACTGTCACGTATTTGCAGAGAGGGTGACCCGCCTCTACAGAAAAGGCAGCTCGGAAGAGTATCCAAGTATCGGAATCGAATCTGCATACAACACATGTGACAAGCTCTTTTCCATTCTCCTGTACCCCCTTGACTTGGCTTAGCGTAACATGCTCATCAAATTCCGTGAACCCTTTTCCAACTATCTTATCAACCACCGTAGACTTGCCACTGTTGGACGCTGCATCCTTCTTGAGAGATGGGACTTTGGCAAGGAGACTGCGGGTTGCCTTCTCAATGAGAGAAGAGGAATCTTTGCCAGCGTCACATGCTTTTCTCTCGATCAAGGCCGTCTCATCTCGCAGGCAATCAGCAGCATGATGAGGCGTGAACAGTCTCGGAGAGAAAATGGCCTTCTGAGCCTTACTCACGGCATCGTGTTGTGAAGAGTGAACGCTGTTAAGCTTCGTCTTGAGATAGCTGTAGGCATGGTAACGGAGGGTCTTTGTAATGTAGCCAAGCTCGGCGGTTGTAAAGCTGCGAGGCTCATGTTTGAAACAGTAGTGATTATCCATCCAGAAAAGGAACCAAAAGCCACAGCCACAATAGTAACGATGGGTTTCTTTTTGTATGTTGAGATTTCCGTTGGCGTGAGCATACATGTAGGCCACCTCGATATCGTTTCCATTGCCTGGGTTGCGTCCGGCGCCAACATACTCATCCAACACTCCTGTTTCTCCATTGACTTGAAAGTGGAAGGATTGAAAGTTGGCCACCACCTCTTTGGGTAGTTTCCATGCCGCTAGAGTACCACCAAGGTCTGCCGTGGCAATTTTCCGAATGTCATAGGACCCAGAACACTCCACACTGTTCACAACGTAGGTGCTGGAAAGAGTGTTCCCGGCAAGCTTGTTGACCTCCGATACCAGTGTCGCTTTCACGTTCGTGTCAGCCGAAACTGCAACGACCTCAAGCGCCAACAGGAGCAACTGTATCCACGGGGACTTACACATGCCAATACAAAGCAAGGGCGATCAAAGGTGAGAGAGCTTGTTAAAAGGCGCCTTTCACTAAAGAAGATTCTGTGATTGTGTTCGTTCAAGCCTGTTGCTTTTTGTGAGCCTTTCATCGATCTGTTCGGCCTCCCTGAAATTGGCTTCAGCTGGTATCTTTGTATCTTTGTTCCAATCTCAATCAGGATCTTATTGAATTGAAGTTTGGCTTCTTTCATGGACTTGAGAGAGAGTCCAAGTTGAGGGAACGTTTGGAGTGTGGTGACGACCCCAAAACCCACAACTCCCTTGTGCTTTCAAAGAAGATGAGATCTTTGCTTGCGGTGTTTTGAAGTTTCGTAGAGGATAGATGGATACGAGAAGATCCAAGGTGTTTTTGGGTGAATGACCAAGATATCTTTGACATGATTGTCATCAACCCTGAGCGACAACTGTCCCAATATCAAGAATTGGCTCTCCTGATTTCCTGATCGACCTAGAGATTCCCTCTTTGTTGTTCTATAGACGAAGGATCCGAGTCGAATGGCTTGATCTTGTATTCACTGAATGCTTGGGATTGTTGGATATCCTTTGGTGGTATCGCTCCTCGTTGCTTCAAGATAAAGATCTATCTGATCCAACACCTTTGACGAGAATTACCATTGCAAAACTCGTAGAAGTACGCAACACCTTTCGTCTACGGTACCGGACAGTACTGTACGGTTGTAGCACACCACCAATCGATCGATTTGGTTCGAATTGAATCGAATAAATCAACCCCGAATGGCTCACTTTTCATTCACAGAACGTTACAACATCCTTGCCTGCTCGCGGGAAAATACCAAAGCGTGACAAACCCAAAAACAGGACCGCTCCAACCTCTTTTTGGCCAGTTTGTCTTGTCCAATGATAGCCAATCTTGTCTGTCACATAGGACGAGAGGAGTGGAAGACTTACAGGACTATCAGGTCCACTGGCCTCTTGTGTCCGCTACGATACCGGTTACTGTAATCTGTGCCCAGCATGATATGAACAAAAAAGATCAAACTGGGCAGAGGCATGGATCGTGCGAGCGACTAATTTGGCTATGGCCAACGGAACCCGTGACGCCAATAAAGGAGTTGGCCAGACATGGGTTAGTCACACCTTAGCATTCGTAATTTGTGCGAGAGATGATTGAGAGGTGAATTTGGAGAGAGAAAGACTGCGTGGGAGTTGTGATATGTCGTGCATGGCCTAAATGTTCCTCCACCCGACACAAAAACATGTTCAGTGCGAGTACGGGATATCTAACAAGGATCCACTGGTTAGCTACCGCTGATTGACGGCAATTCAATTCTTAGCTTTGCAGCCATCTCTTGCGTTACGTGTTAGTCTTTGCTTGCTTTCTGATAGCTAATTGCTAATAGCACAACTTGGGATCAGAAGACCTTTATCAACGTCTTCTGGCTCGTGGTTCTCCACTTACTCTCATCTCATCTGTCGTCTATCATCTATCAAGGTCTTGTTTGGTTGATCGAGTTCAAGTGGTTGTCGTTCGAGTTGTCATTCTTATTCTTGTCATTCATATACGTTTGGGACAGCGAAGCGAAGACTCAGTCCTTGATTTCATAAAGTCCAATCTGCTACCCATATACCCATATACCCATCCAGTATCTTTTCCATTATCTTTTCCAGATACCCAAGCTACCCCTTCCCCTCCTTTTTTAATTAAGCAAGCAAGATGAAGATTTCTACCAGCTGCCTCTTGGCTCTCTGGGGTTTGGCAGTATCTGCCTCAGCTTCAGCCTCTGCTTCAGTTGCCACCAACCCAAAAGTCAACCAGAAGAAATCCATCAATACGGCAGAGCTTGCCAGAGAAAAGCTGGAACGCTTCCAAAATGGAATCCGTCAAAAGCTGGAAACTACTGTGGATACTACCAGTACTGTCGAGAACGAGCAGAACACGAACAAACTACGCCGCAGAGACGCTGCCATTGACACGAGAATCATTGGAGGATCCAGGGTTAAGACACCTTATCCCTATATGGCACTCCTGGAAGTGGGATGTGCAGCTGCCCTGATCCATGATGACAGTAAGTCCACATACACAAAACAAGTGGTATTATAGGGTATATACCCAAGGGAATGATGGAGCTAACCCACGTTTTTCTATCTTTCTCATCATTTTGTTTGACAGTCCTGATTTCCGCTGCTCACTGCAATGTCGGTACCATTTTTGATCGCATTTCTTGGATTGGTTCCGTGAAAAAGGAAGAAGGTCTCGTTCGGACTGTTGTGGATATCATTGAACATCCCCAATTCAATGATGCGGATATTGTATACGATTTCATGATTATGAAACTCAACACCACGGCAAAACTAGATCCATACTACCGTGTTCCCGGATCCGGAGTTTCTGTGTCTGTCGATAACCCCGCCGTGACGGCACAATCCAAACAAGCAGCCAGAAATCACACGGATCTCTACGAAACCGGCATTGAACCCATCATGATTAACCGTGATCCCAATGTACCACAGGTCGGGGATCCACAACAAATCATGGGATTTGGGGTCACGTCGCAAAGTCAATTCGGGCTCGTCGATGACTTGCACGAAAATACCGTCTATGCCATTGATGATGCCGATTGCGGAAACTACTACCAAGCACTCGGATACTTTCCCAATGTCATGATGTGTGCCGGACACCCCAGTGGAGGTGCTGATACTTGTCAGGGTGATTCGGGTGGCCCCATGGTCGACCTCAACACCAATACTCTTTCCGGTGTCACTTCCTGGGGACAAGGATGTGGTCTACGGGAATACCCGGGTGTCTACGCACAGGTCGATGCCGTCTCGGATTGGATTGATGAAGAAATTTGCAGAAACTCCTGCTATCCACCGGATACCTGTGACCCCGAAATCACCCATCCGTGTGCGGACTACGTACAAGGAGGAGCCGTCCACTTTGACGGACCTCTGGAATTCACCATTGAAGTCACCCTGGACACGTATCCTTCTGAATTTGGGTCCATCTTGTCCTTTTACGAAACGGGAACCGAATTGTGGTTTGTCCCGTTCGGTACCTACGACAATGAACAAAGTCCTTCCGACAGCCTGCTAGTGGTCGAAGAGACGTTTACGGATCTGCCCGCTGGAATTTACCGATTGGTAAGGAACACAAAACAACCCACTGCGATTTTACTTTCTTGTCTTTTGTCTCCTTTCTGACGCCTCTCTTTTGCTGGATTGCTTGCTTGCTTCAGGTCTTGGGAGACGGGGGTTCGGATGGCCTTTGCTGTAACTATGGACGAGGTGGTGTTACCGTCACTAATTCTCTTGGAGACGAACTTTGGTCCACCGACGGTCGCTATGGATCTTTGGAGGTTGTGTACCTGAACATTACCGACGATGGCGAGTTGGTCTGGGCTGCCAGCAACCCCGATGGTACCGATAGCAACCCGGGAAATGGAAACGGAGGAGGCCCACCTTCGACCTTCCCGGGACAAGGCGGCGGTCCTCCGGAAACACCCGGTGGCGGCACCGAAGGCGATGATGGATTCTTCCTTGGCGGTGGAGCATACGACCCCTCCGAGTATGACAATGACTGGCCGGGAGCATTCCCTTTACTCACCAACTCAACAAATGTGGTCACCATCAACGTTCGCACGGATAGATTCCCTGGTGAGTAGTGCTGGATGAATGGATGATGAACGAATGAAATAATGCGTATGTCCGTTGTTTGTGGTTTCTTGTGCTGACTGGTTGCTTCTGATTTGATTTCACAGGGGAGACTGAAATTCAATGGAGCCAGCGAACCGGACCCGACACGTTCCAGCTCCTGGATCGCGAAAACCCCATTCGAGGCAGTACCGTGATCAGCTATGAAAAGTTCGTCGAAAATGAGACCATTTATCGTTTGAGAATCCTCGATGCATTAGGCGATGGTACATGCTGTTTGTTTGGCTTGGGTTGGTTCACAATCACAAATGCCACGGCAAGTGACGACTTCGAATTGGGAACGGTTTTGTGGGAAATGATGGGAGGCGAGTTCTTTGATCTCGAAGAGGTCTTCATTTGGGTTGACGCCGACGGAAATTCCCACTTGGTAGAGTACCTGCCGGGCCAGGGCTACGCCTTGATTGTCTATGATATCGTATCTGAAGAGCGTATCTTCGTGGTGTCAGACGAACCGGAAGAACCTGAAGAGGCGCCCAAGAGCGGGCAAAAGGGATTCGGTGACTGGTTCTTGCCTTAGTAGCGAGCTTACTGGGGGCTCAAACAGACCGACTGGAACGACAGGAAGTTGACTTCTTTGTAAATAAGCACTTGCATATTCTTATAACCAAACCAATCCACTTCTTCGGCCCCAGAAAAGAAGAAAAAGCCACAATGGCTGACCGTGCTTCATCTGACCATTGCAAGCCTAGCACTTCAATCCCCGCGATTGCCAGCCCCTGCATTGGAGTTCCTACAATCGCAACTAGCTAGAGCCCCAGCACTGGAGATACCACTGCCAGCCATTTGCCTCAGCAGCCACCTACCCCTGAATTGCATTCGCACAAAACAAGTGGCAGATTTGACGGAGAAGGGCTGTGACGGTAAAGTTGGCAGCAAGTACCGTGGTAAAGCAGGCAGTTGAAGATGGTCAAAGGTGATCAAAAGCAGTTCAATAGGTCTACAATAATACTGCCACTTTTCTGTCTGCTGCTGCTCCCCCTCCTCTCTTGCTGGTCACGCACAGAAGTTTTGCTTTGTCATGCCTTGGAGTTGGCTTCCACGAAAGGTCCATAGAAGCCGATCAGTGTAGCTAGATGCTGGACAACCTGGTCATTAAGTTTTGGTGGGATGCTGCTTTCTTTGCCGGCCAACCACAAATGTCCCAACCAGCTGTTGCGTTGTGCCGTGGTGAAGCCTCGCCCCTGCAATCTTTTGCTGCGCATAGGACATTGTTTGGCACGGGTGTGCCCTTCCTGTAGACGGCGAAACATGTTGTTGCCTACCTCGTGATAATATGATTGGTCGTCGGTCCAGCGACTCCATAGTGCCAATGCAAGGCGCTTTCCATGGACCAACGCCGACACGTTGGCTTCCGAGTCTTTGTTGTTGAACAGAACTGCCATTCGCGGATCTGCCATCATGCGCTTGTAAAATGTTCCAAACCATTGAATGGCTTTATCTTTGCCGATCTCTGTTTCCAACTCGTACTGCGAGGGTTGCATGATATGCCGCTGGCGGCGCTGGACTTGTTCGAAAATCTCAGTTCCCCTCTGCAAAGCCTCGTTTCCGTCCGCAGTAACTCGAAACTTGGAACCACTCACATCTGATCGCGGCAATGTCTTTTCCAAAACCTCCATCTGGGATTCTCGCTCCATCTCTGTCATATTTTATTTTTGAACTGTTGTCTTTTCTACTTTCTCAAAGCTGAAATTGTGGCGATTTCCATCTTCCAAAACCTCTCGGTGTCTTTCGTGTTCGTGGTCTGTACCCGGAGAAGCCGGAGAAGCTTCGGCATTATTCGCGGTTGTCTCAATGGGTCGTAGATATTCACATACACAAGTTGTCAGTTTACAGAGAACTGTTGTTCGTCATGGATGTCGAACGTGTTCGGATGTGCTGGGAGTAAGGAACCGTGCTACGCCTAGCTAGCTAGCTAGCTAGCTAGCATCTCTATCGATCGCACTTAAATTTCCCCTTGGTGTAGGGTGCTAGAAGTTAATTAAGCAGGTACCGGTAGAAGAGCAGAGGCTTATGGAGCAATGGAGCCTACTGGTACCGGGTTGCGCAGCTTGAACGGCAGTCAATGTGCAGTACGGTAACCTCCATCCCAGAATCCATCTATAAAGACACAGCTCATGGTCCTGGCGAAACAACTCTACCAGTAGCTAGCTAGTCTAGAGACCGTGGGTATTTAGATCTATGCATACCTTTGCCAATTGAACGTTTTTTAATTTTAAAAAATGGTTCTACTACGGTAGTAGCTATGAGCGCGAAAGAATGATCGAAGATTCAATCAACGAATCGAATCGAATCGAATCGAATGAGTTATGTACGTACTCGAACACTCGAACCTTTGGTAACTGAAAGGAAAAGTCATGATGACGTCATGCACGGCTCACGAGGCGACGTTGAGCTGTTTACGATTTGATTTTTGTTAGAAAAAGCGTTGCCTCGCATCGCCTCCTTCGTCGTCTTCACAAACCCCTTTTGAGGGAAGGACCATGATCGTCATCTCATCATGCTCACAAAAAGAGTTGCCAAAGGCCGTGCTCTGGTCCATGTTATAGCCAATTGAGGTTTTGGAACAGTTCATAGCTGATGGCTCTCTTCCTTCCTTCCTTCCTTCCTTCCTACCTACCTACCTACCTTTCTTTGTCGGGTGAAAGGCCGTGCTCTGGTCCATGGTATAGCCGATTGTGGTTTTGGAACAGTTCATAGCTGAGTAGCGTTGGGTTGGCTGGTTCGTCCTCGTGTAAAGGTAAAGTCGGTTCTTCTGTTTGGCGGGTCGCCGGTGGTCCTTGTCTTGTCGTTGGTGGGTTGATTGGTTGATTGGTTGATTGGTTCGTCCTCTCCAAAACGCACACACTCTTTCCTTCTTCCAGTCGAGTCCAACAGCAACAGCAACGGCAACGGCAACAGCAACCCTACCGATTTAGCCGAAGCAACGCCTTCTTCGAGTCCAAGAGCAGCAAACACGCGGAAAGCCGGGCAATCTCTCTCGACACAAGTCTGACAATGACATGTTGGTTGAGCCATTCTTTCAACCGGGCAATCTTTAGGGAAACCCTGGTGGAAAAATTTGGTTGCGGTGGTTCCTTGTTGCGGTGGCTCTTCGGTTGGTTGGTTGGTTGGTTGGTTGGATGGCTGCCTTGTGCTCGTGATCCTTGGAATTGATCCTGCAAAGGCGAAATGTGTCGGTCTTGCGATGATTATGTGCCTTCTGGAGACTGGGGAACCTTTTGCGGTGGTGCTTCCTTTTCCTGTTGGTTGGTTGGTTGGTTGGTCGGTCGGCCAAGATTCTCCAAGCAATTGATGTTGTGGGGTCAAGTGACCATTGCTGGCAGCCTGCTCCAAAGCTTCCTTAAGGCGCTGACGTGAAGAAGTAATGAATGCTCGGAGCCGATTTGTACTGGGGATGTTAGCGGTTCCTCTTCTGGCTAGCTGTCCCCGTTGGTCTTGTGGAGTCAAGCTTGTTGGTTTTTCCTCTTGTTGTGGAGTCTCCTCTTCTTGCTTGGAGCTTGGATCGGAGCACTTTTCTTTGGCTCACACCACGGACTCGGAGCAACTTGTTGGTTCCTTAGCTAGTTAAACTACTTCCACCTCATGCGTAGGCTGGTCCCCACAGCACACCTTTGTGGGCTGCAGCCTTCACCTTTGCTTTGCCCTTTTCTCACCCCTAAATCTCTTTTGGTCCCAACTCAACTACCCTTTTGGTCGTGTCTCACCTCAGCCCAGTCTTTGCCGCTCAAGTCCTGCTCTGGAGACTCCAACCAAACAACCGACGACTTGGTCTTCATCTTTTGAGACCCTTGCTCCTGCAAGGACACTTCACTTTGCCCCCTGCTCTTCAAACACTACCGTTGCTCCAAAGCACCCCGGCAAAAGCGACGCCCGCCAAAAGACCCACCTTTTCGTTGCCCAGCTCTTGCTTCAGTCTCCTCTCTGGTTATCTTGTCGCCAGAAGCCGAGGCTCGGCACTGGTAGCTTACTCGGCCCTCCAAGACCCCGCGACCAACCATCACCACCCAAGAAGCGACATCTCGACTTTGATCAGGACGAATCTATGTGGGTTCTTGAATTGTCAGCACAGGTGAGCACTGAGGCTGCGTTGAATGCTTGTCTTTGCTGTGTAAGGACGCTTCACAACCAGTACAGTTACGCCCCCGTTACTGAAGCCGCTGTGATTGCTACAGTTTCTGATTCTATTAATAGATTTAACTTTCCCCGAGGGCTCCAAGCCGTCGGATTTCTCACACTTATCTGTTGTTGACTCTCGCTGCTGCCTACCAGAACAGCCCATCTATTCTTCAGTCGAGCCTCATGCCTCAACAGAGCGTTCTGTCGAAATGCTCGTCTCGCTTGCTGGGCTTGTGCCTCTTACCGCTCCCCACCGTCAGAGATTGCCCACACTCATTCGATGCCTGATGATAGATTCATGTTGTCTGATTTTCGAATTTCGTATCCCTGTAGGTTGCAGCACTCGTTGCGACCTCCCAATTTCATTTGCTTCTTTTTTGTCGCTTCAATCGTTCAAAAATGAATTACTTAAGTATACAACAGCTGATCCGTGAGACTCGTCAAATTGTGTTCGTAGGCGGCACATTTGACGGGATGATATAGTCTGTTGTGTGTAATATTCCCGTGTAGTTCGAGTACTTGCGTGGACGCATTTTTCCAGGGTCCCCATCCCGCGGTGCAAATGTGTCCATTGTGCGGCTGCAACAATTCCTTATTGTCGCATTGATAATGATAGGCATCACACATGGGTGCCAATACGGCTTCATGATGTCCCACAATGGCGTTTGTTTTGGATAGTTCCAGCAAGGATTCGGCAAACCGCAACGACATGCGTAGAATGGCCCATCGTGTAATTTTGGGTGCAATACTGGCACACTCACAGGGCAAAAACATGCGTTGTTGATTGAATTCGGCCCATACGGGGACGCGTAGAGTACAGGTTTCGTAGACGTGATAATACCAGTCGGAAGGAGCGGGATCACCGGTGGAAATGACATCGTCTGGTCGTGTCACAAAGGCATCGAATAGATTGTGCCATGGTCCCGTAAAGAAGACGTCATCTTCAATGTGCCAGGCAAATTGATATCGTTTGTAGGCGACGAATCGTAAAAAGGAGGATTTACCAGATCCACTGCGTTTTCCATCGAGATTGAGTGTGGAGGATGACTGATGAGCCCCTCGTAGTGTAATGTTCAGTTTGTTGTCTTGTGCGTATTCTTTGAGTTGTGTGACGAGTTGTTCGGAACGACGAACGAGATCAGGACTTTTTCGTTTTAGTGATTTGTGATTGTGCAAGATCCAGACATCTCGTTGTTGTGGTGGTTGTTGTCGTGTTGTTTGGGTAGCTGCCGTGGTCAGTAGATGCAGCAAGCGTTCTGCCCCACAATCATCTAGGTATCTGGTGACCCAAACAATGGCAGTTCGGTTGGCATTTTCTCGTTCATTTTTGATTTTGGTAGCTTTTTCTCTCCGTTTTGCATTGATGGCGAATTCTTCTGCCCTGTTTTTCGGTACTCTACTACTACTACCAGTAGTACTAGTAGCTTCGTCTTCTTCTTCATCTTGTAGACTGGGTAATCCCAAGACATCCCGAAAACTGAGAGGAGCAGATTGCTGTTGCGCCTTGTTGGCACTCTCCACGTGGCGTTGCAAAGATCGGCTTGTCGTGGAGATTTGTACCTGATCTTGTACCTGATCTTGTGCCTGATCATGTACCTGTGATTCTTGAGGAGATTCTGGAGGAGCTTCTAGTGACAGCCACTGCTGAGGCTCTACCAGTTCTGCTGGCACCGTCAAAGGCACAATCTTTAAGCTGGAAAGAAATCCAATTTCTCGCTGTACCATGACAGCCAAGCCACCAAAGAAAAGCACCATCGTCAACAAGCCTCGTCTAGAAAATGGTCGCATTGCTGCTGTCTTTGGAACTACCGTTAGCACTTGCTCAGACATGAAATTTTGTTTTGTTTTCTTTGGGTAGCTTTGGCTAGCTTTGGCTAGCTTTGGGTAGCTTGAATAAGATCAATGGAATTGAATCAAAGATGATAATGACAAGACAAGACAACTTTACTCGTCAGCTAATAGAACTCTCAATGGATTGGCAGGCATGCATGCATGCATGGTGGGTTGCAACAAATGGATCTGGACAGGTCACGGTCGCGTGAGCGGCAGTTGGGGGCACCAAAATTGTCAAGAGAGATCTTGCGATCTTTCGAGAATCTTGGAAGGTCCGGTACGACTGTACCGTACCGGTACAAGAAGATTTAGAGCACTTTCTGTACATGTACCCTCACTTCGCTCTCACTTTGAGTTTGGAAATGGCTAAGGTATTCATCTCCATCTCTTCGCCTCAAACGTTTCAGGCACAAAGCATAGAGCCAGCATGACGATGAGGAGTTAACTTCAATTGTAGAAGCTTCCGATGTATCCGTCGTCACTGAAAGGTTGCTCCCCCCGTACCTTCAAGATCCCCACAACACACACTCCTGTAGACACGTATCCATACTCATGACGGCTACCGTACGGTTTTGACTGGACTAGCTAGAACGTGCAGCCAAATCTTAGCTCTGGCCACGGAATCGAATCGAATCGAATCGAATCGAATCGAATCCACAAGTTGTCCGGAAGTCGTCGCTCGCCGGTCACTGCCTCCACAAGAGGGAGCAGCACTAGCTAGTGCATTACCGGGTCAGGTGCTGGGGCACCTCGTGCTTGAAAACCACAACCGGTACCGGTAGCCCTCAGAACGTACACTACGAGACGAAACAATGGTTAGAGGAAGTAACAAAAATGATTATAAGAACATATTCTAAAGTACAGTTCCTTTGTGGAGTTGCTATTGAAAGAAGGACTGTAGTTGCCTGTGTGTGTGTGTGTGGTTGTGAAATAGCACGACAACAAGTAATGCTGTTAGTCCTGATATAGCATAACACAGCACTCATTCCTTCCAATCCATTTCATTGCAAAGGAATGGTATATACATGTAGGTTGACTGTCACTCACTGATTGGCCTCAACATCCTTCTTGAGCCCACCCAACAAATTCTTCATTCCCTTTTTGTAGGTTCTCTTGACCATGCTCCAATCCAAGAACTCGCCAATGCATCCGTACTTGAGTTGATAGTCAGGTGAAACAATAACCTTGGTACTGCTGCCACTGTTGTTGTGCCCAGTTTCTACCGATGCCAAGGAGAATCGAATGTCGGCGCGGGCAAAGGGCATGTTGCTATTGGTGATTCGAAACGTAATGGCAGTTTCGGGTTCAAACTTGACAACCTCTTCTTCCAAATGATTCCCGTTTCCTAGATCACAATGCCGCTGTGCTCCAAGGCCCGTCTTTTTGGCTCCGTCCAGCACGTAGGATTCTTGGACACCCGGATTCCACTCGGCAATGCTACCAATGTCTCCGGCCAGACGGTCCCAAACCGCGGCAATTGGAGCATCGATGATGGTTTCGACTTGGAAGGTTCCCATGCTCTACATGCATTCAAGCTAGCTAGTGGTTGCTCGTACTCAGTAATTGTTCACAGTAATCACTGTTGTTATGCTCTTCCAATGGAAGAAAGAGCTGAGTTCAAGGCGTTTTGTGAGTTGCCGCACTCCCATTCCCACCGCGATGTTCCAGCTTCCGGCGAATTCGTGTTTTCTAAAAGATCGGGTCGTGTAGCCTTATCTCTACTGGATGGATGTGTTCTCCCGGGTTTTACAACGAAGTTGTTCCAAGACGGCCAAGGCGGTCGCTTCGTCAGGATGCATGGCACATTGGTGCCCCTGACCTAGAAATGTATTGACTTTGGCGGGTGGGCTTTGAGTCGAGTCGATCTGAGCGGGAGTGGGAGCGGTTCATGGTTTCGTTCCTTGGCTCCTCGTTCATTCGGTAGGAATCGCTTTGTGCCACATTTTTTGCCCAAGTCAGCTGCTTTGGTTTTCCAAGAGCTATAGATACTCCTCCCTGCTTCGTGTCGGTGTTTGCATATACCGGTAGCTTTGACCAACGCCAGGATTTTGCCCGGTGATCGAGAAGCCACCGCATGAAATAGCATAGCTAGAGTCCTCCCGGGACGCACGACCAAGGGGGATACCCTATGCGTCTTCCGGCAACGGTAGCTAGCTACCGATAGCCGCACGGTATGCATGTAGTGAGGCGGCGGCTTGACTTTTGTCTTCCTTGCTTGTCTTCCAAATCAATCAGTGCGAGCCTCGCTCCGGCAATGCCACCAGCCAGCTGCACCTCACCAAAACAAGAACCAACGATTCGAAGGATCCGAGGATGCACCAGCCAGAAAGCAAAGGCTAGCTCTTGCCTGGCTTGCTAGTAGTAGACTTGCCATAACCAGAGAAACCTAGCGTATGAGCGATGGTCGAAGAGAAAAGCTGCTCGGTTGCTGGACGTGTCCATGACCGCAGCAGCGGCACTGAATGACGGGGGTTTAAAAGAGTTGGTCGATAATGGTGACGACGAGGTCCAGACCATGTCGTCGACGAGCGAATCGCGGTATTAGCTCGTCCCCGATGAACTAGATAGAAGTTGGCTAGCTAGTTGGCAATGATATCATGCACTAATTCCATATTACGTTATCAATCTTTGCTTATTCACTCTAATGCTCTAACAACTGGCGAAAACACAGCCAGCCGTTTACTTCAAGTGAACAATGTGGCCTTCAGCGGCAACCAGAACATCTCTGGTAGCAATGACATCAAAGATGCAATCATCCATGTCTTCCTTCCAGTGGGAGCAAGCCTTCTCGGCTTCCTTGCGCATGCTGTCGGTTCCAAGGCGGTTGCCCAAGTGCTTCTTGGGTGCAACACACTTGGCTGGGAATTGAGGAGCACGGGCTTCAGAGAAGAGCATGGGCTCGGTGTCACGTACTTGCCATTCCTCAGCAAAGAGGGTGGCATCTTCGTGGTCCATGACAGAAACACCGTCACGAGCAAACTTGGTACCAGTCTTCCAGTCTCCCAAAAGACCCAAGCTGTGCTCGAAGATGGCTGTGTCTCCGCCATCAACAATGACAGCAGGGAATCCGTTCTTGCGTGTGTGGAGATCGATCTTTGCGACATTGTGGCTGTGTCGGCCCTCGTCATGGAGACGAATACTGATGGCCTTGCTGTCACGACGGACAATGAATCCTCCCAAGTGAGTCTTGTGGTGCTTGCGGTTGTGCTCAACGGGCAATCCGTTGATCAAGAAAGTCTGGACATCGTTCTCAAACTCGAGGACATCATCTCCAATCTGGACAGCAATCTTGGAGATGTAGCTGAAGTACTTGACACGAGTGGTTCGGATGTGGATCTTGAGGCCTTGGTTGTCATTGAACTTGGGGTTGTCGACCAAGACTAGATCACACTCTCCATGGTAGTCGAACTTGTCTCCAGTCCAGGTCTTGAAGTGAGGATCTCCACTGCCACTTCCGGGGGTGGGCTTCTCATAGCCAGTGGTGGGTCCACTTCTCTCGTTGCTTGGGGTAGTGGGAGCCTTGGTGGGAGATGATGTGGGGGCCGGACAGCTACAGAGGCCAGGGACAGTGTGGACGTTCATCTCAGAGATAATGGTCTGGTTGGTGATGACCTCACCCTCGTCGATGACCATGACAAGAGGGATTTGTTCATTGGGGTCAGAGCAGTCAATAGTGTATCCATTACCGTTAGCAATAGCTTGGTCACGGACCCATCGCGCAACACACTCGTGTCGGTAGGTCTCATAATCAGTACCGGTACCGTTGATGTTATCAACAAGACCCCAGATACCTCCTTGGATTTCGAGCCAGTTGACAGTTCCAGTACATTGTTCTCCTTGGACCACTTCATCGACAGTGTCTCCAATGGCAATGTTGTTGATCAACCATGCCAAGTTGGGGAGCATGTCGTGCTTGTCCAAAGCAGCGGCAGGGATGGCATCAGAGCCAAAACTGAAGATATCAACATCCCAGTCTTGGGTACCAATGAGACGGTCCCAGTCAATGCACCATCCATCAGTGAAAGTTTTGCCTCCGTACTGGGGATCATCAAGGGTGATGTTGAAGTGGGCAGCCTCTTGTTGGGGGAACATCTCAACGTGGATGGAAACCTCAGCGGGAGAAGTGGCAACATCGTGGTCGACGACCCATTCATATTCACACTCGACGGTAGGAGCAGCAGTCTCTGGGGTCTCTGGTTCGCTTCCACACTCGTCACAGACATAGCAGAACTCGATGTGGCTGATTCCCTTGGATTGACCGACATCAAGGTAGTAAGTGGTACCAGCAGTCAAGGTGTAGACGGCTCCTCCGTTTCCTCCCTTCATGATGACGTAGGAATCAGTGGTGGCAGTGTATTCGACGCTCTTGTATTCACCACCATCGTCGATGCACTTGGTGGTGAAGGTTCCAGAGGGAGTAGTGCCAGAAGCGCAGTCACCCTGTGTCTTGGCGTACTTGATGGAGCTGTCTTCGGTGCCAAAGGGATGGTCGGTGGCATCAAAGCATCGCTCATCCATCTTGTATCCATAGGCAAATCCCAAGTCTTGGCAGTTGGGATTACCCCTGTAGGAATTGACTTTGTAGGTAGCTCCGAAGGTGGTGTAGTCGTCCGTGAAGATATCGGGGGCGTTGTTACATTCCTCAAGCTTGCGCGGTTGCTTCTTGGTTGCTTGGGTACGGAAAGCCTCAGCGGATCCGACCAGGGCAAGGGAAAGAAGGGCGGAATACTTCATTTTTGGTATAGGTGTAGTTGTGGTGGTTGTTGTACACGAAAAAGGATAATGTTGTTTGGAGAAACAAATTATGAGCCATCCTTGATATCGTTGCTTTGCTTTCTTTGCTTCGTTTGCATGGTGGCGACAGCCGACCGCGGTGGTGACGAGAGAAAATCCAAGACCAAAGGCATCGAGCGTAGCCGAGTGACTCAGTCATTCAGTGTACAGTACTGGTGTACTGGGTATCAAAATTACGATCATCATTGTTAACAAACCGCTATGTGCCGGTACAAATGGTCATTTGATAGCACCAACAGTGTCACTCGGGTCTTGATATCTAAATATTTGATCAAAACAGTCATACTGGTATTGGTTGCGAATGACCAACCTTAACAAACTAACACGCCCTACAGGTTTCTACACAAAGCAATCCCATTTACGGCGACGAGCATCTTCTTTCATGCGGGAACCACTACTGTACAGTAGGTATTTTAAAATAGCTACTGTGGATAGTGTACAGTACTGTAGTACCGATAGCTACAAGCTACAAGTACAGATTACAGTACGTTCAGATGACCACAAACCGACCCAATGCATGCAATAAGAGACCCTCAAGGTTTCAGCTGGCAACTGTCACGTCCACACTAAAGACACTACATGTACTAAACCCTACGAGCCAACGAGGTGACTGCCTCCACCAACCGCAACCAGGGTTGGCTAACCAATCAACTATGTACTGGTTATTGGTTATTGGTTATTCAACCACTCAATTGGGGGTACTGGTTATTGGTTATTGGTTATATAACCAATCAATCTAAGGTACTGGTTACTGGTTATTGGTTATTTCCCATTGGTTATAGGTTATTTTATAGGTTAGTAACCGGTAACCACTGGTTATATCAGTGGTTAACCAAAGCGTATCGAAGGTGCTGTTTGGGCTTTGTAGAGTACCTGAGGGTGTCTGGCATGAAGGGGAGAGTTGAACTAACTTTTCATATGTATAAATGAGATTCCTGGATGGTGGGGTCAGCACTAAGACTCTATCTAGTGGATTCAATCTACGATTTTGGCCCAAAATGGCCAAAAGTGCTGTTAAAAAGGTGCTGTTTGGGCTTTGTGGAGTACCTGAGGGTGTCTGGCATGAAGGGGAGAGTTGAACTAACTTTTCATATGTATAAATGAGATTCCTGGATGGTGGGGTCAGCACCAAGACTCTATCTAGTGGATTCAATCTACGATTTTGGCCCAAAATGGCCAAAAGTGCAGCCAAAAAGGTGCTGTTTGGGCTTTGTGGAGTACCTGAGGGTGTCTGGCATGAAGGGGAGAGGTGAACTAACTTTTTATATGTATATATGAGATTCATGGATGGTGGGGTGAGCACTATGACTCTATCTAGTGGATTAAATCTACGATTTGGACCTTTTGGGTGTTTTGCCATGTATATTTTGCAACAGCAGTCGACAGCTATACTACCAGGATAGAAGAGGCCCATGGATATTGATCCCATAGAAGATGGACTCCTAATATACTATAGAAACATGGAATATAACAACATTCAGCATATGTTTGCCCCAATACGTAGAACAACCCGATATGACCCCGTTTGGACAGCGTATCGCCTCAATTCAGAGTCAATATGGGCTACAGAAGCTATACTACAAGTCACAGCCGCACCCCCAGCATCAAGATTGTCCATCTATATATATATAAGAAGTTAGTTCAGCTATCTCTTTCATGCCATGCACAACACACCTTGGCGGATGTGGAATTCGGTGTTTTGCCATGTATATTGTGCAACAGCAGTCGTCGACAGCTATACCACCAGGATAGAAGAGGCCCATGGATATTGATCCCATAGAAGATTGACTCCTAATATACTATAGAAACATGGAATATAACAACATTCAGCATATGTGGGCCCCAATGCGTATCCAGGAGTGCTCCACATTAGCCACTTAGCACGTTTGCTAGCGAATGGCCCAGGACAACTCGTAGACCATGCAAACACCATTGGTAGGAGCCAGACAGGTCCCCTAATACCCCCAACCAGAACAAGACAATATTCAATATGCATCTTGATCCAGGAGGAGAGAGAAGAGAGAGCGATATCACCCTTTTCAAGTGTTCCGAGTATGTGGATTTGGAACGATACCCGTGCATTGAGTGACCATGCGATAACATTTGGGTGGTCAAGTCCTCAGCCAATCCACCAATCTTCATTTATATTATATATCAGGAAGTTACCTCAACTATCCCCATCATGTCATGTACCCAGGACTCCTCCACACTAGCTACATAGCACGTTTACTAGCATATTTGCTAGTAAAATAAGCATTTGCTAGAGACGTACGGCTAATTTTCATCAAGATTCGCTAATGTTGACATCAGGCTGATCATTGTAAGAGTCTAGTTCCTTAGCTGTGATATCATCTTCCTCCATTAGGCTTGCCACATGCTGCTGGAGGAGCCACTTAGTGTGTTGTTCTTAGCAAAGTTCGAAAATCGAATAACCAGTCAAATAACCAGTCAAGTAACCAGTCAAGTAACCAATAACCGTATATGATAACCAGTCGATCAACCAGTCAAATAGTTCTGGTTACCGGTTATTGGTTATTCAACCAATCAAAATAAATATGACCGGTTACCGGTTATCGTATCGATGACCGGTTAATAACCGGAAATGACCGGTTAATAACCGGTAACCAATGGAATCGGTTAGCGAACCCTGACCGCAACGGATCATCAAAGGATTAGAAAGGATGTGATTTCGCCAACTACGGAGTTGGCCTGTTGCCGATTTTGTTGTTTGGTGTGTCAATCAATCAATCAATGGTTGGTCCTCGTTTTAGGGTTACAGGCTAACCATACCGTACCGGACCGTCCACTCAGGCTCTAAAACAAAAATTGAAATTTCCACGCCTGAGCACCGTTTGAAACACGCCCTTAAACATGCCCTTAAATAAACATGCCCTTAAAACATGCCCTTTCTATGAGAACCAGTCGTGGTCGTTTTAAAGTCTGAGTGAAAACCGTCGGACAGTCCTGTACTCATCATACAGTAAAAGGTAGATTATACCATTACGTGGTGCCGGCCAGATGTAACCCAACTCCACTCCTCATACCGACCCGACTCCTCCGCTGGCTAAGAGGGTTGCTTGGTAGCTCTAGCAGCAATGCTAACGGCATAGCTGAGGCTCTCAGCAGGAGGAGCATTTGGGATGAAACTGGGCATTGAGCTGGGGAAGGAGCTGCCCAGGAGAAATGCTATAGAGATGTCACTGACTGGGAAGCTGAGGCTAGCTAGCTGGGCTCAGGCCAGCAGGGGAGGTACAACCAGGAACGGGGCTGGAACTAGTAAGGCGGGGGGAGGAGCTAGGAAAACTGCAAGGGAGCCATGTCAGTAGCTGGGAGGGTTGTGCAATCCACTGTCATGCCTTTTTGCTATTTCTGTTTCCGTAGTTGGCGCCACCGGAGGCATCTTGTCAAGTTGCTTAGCCGGCTGGAATCCTGCTCCCTCCCCACTCCGACAGCACCGGCTCCAGCAGCTATGCTAGCTAGCTACAGGTTCCCCTCCGACCTCCCGACCAGAACCCTCATGGCCGGAGCCATATGCCATACTAGTCGGTACCTACCTAATGCTATTGCATACTAGTACCTTTCTACTGGCTCTAGCTAGCAGCGATCCAGCGATAAGCGACATTGC